GACGGCGTGCGGTTTTAGTCGGTTCGAGTCCGACATGCCACCGACAGGTGGTATCCGAGGGGATTTCTGCACGGAAAAAAAAAGGGGGGGGGTTTGATGACTTCTTGATAACTTCTTACCATGTAAAAAACTTTGCTTGTATTTTTGAACTGTTTCCTTTTCTATTCATGACTAACTATTGCTAATTGGACTTTGATTTCTGTTTCTGATACGATTGACGACCTATACGAACGAGGAATATGCTGATATTGTATGATTATAATTAAAGTGTACAGTGTGTACATACATACTTTATAAGTCTAAGATACGACTTACCTAATGTTAAACGTTACCAGCATGCCGCAACGCTCTAGTTAAAAAATGTACAAAAAATTGTGTTCCACGAATGCGCGTGATGAATTCCCAATACTGTAAAATGTACGGCACGGTTTAAGCAGTCACCTCGCAACCTTCCTACTGCACAGAGTGTTGTGGGTTCGATCCCGACATGGGACAACAATTTGTGTGATGCACAAATTGTTGTTCTGTGTCTGGGTGATCATTGTGTCCGTTTCATGTAGGTCCGTTAATCCCCCACGACACAGAATATATATTCCTAGTGCAGGAATTGTCTTTTTTAAATAAAACAAATTAAATAATGTAAAATAGTCTAAATAAAAAAAATGTAAACACCTGGCCAGACTACAGAGTTTAAAAAAATTGAAAATATCACTGCTGGAAATAGACCTCCGCACTAATACCGAAATCCCGCAGGTTTCCTTATATAAATTTTAATTTTCCCTTGTGACTGGAATTCGTTGAAGGGGTGATGATTGTATAATCACCCCTTTAATCAATCGCAGAAGCAAAGCATTTTCAGGAGTTGGTATTTCTTGTAGTTCCATAACAAATGCAGACAAGACAAGACCATAGTTACCATTTGTTTTCTAGTAGGTTATATTTATAATAACGTATATTTATAATAATAAATAAGCATGTAAATTAAAAAAAACTAAGATTGTTCAATAATATGTGTCTATTTTTTGATATTTTTTGCATTTAGGCCTGTACACACATAGACTGTATAACTATACATATATTTGCTATACGTCGAATGTACGGTTTTCTTTATACGTATTAAAATTCTGTAAGTAGGTATACTTAGGTACAATAATATGCGGTAAAATATATACCGAATCGAAAAATAAATTTCTTAATATTTTATTGTTTATAATTAATATAATTTTTAGTAGATGATTAATATTTTTATAATTAGGTATTATTGATAAAAGTTCTGTATGCAAAAAGTTAGTGGTAATAAAAAAACATTGTTTATTTAAGTGTGATGATGTAAAATGATAAATTGTTTATTTTCCTAAAGGATTTTACTGTAAGTTATTATTTAATTACTTTTTCTCAATTGACCAGAAATAAATAGCCATAAGCATTGATAAATCATTATGAAGCGAAGCGACAGACCATTTACCCATTTTCTGTTCATAATGTTTCTATCAACGGAAACTAGCACTTTTATCGGTTCTTTATGAAAAATTAATGCTGACATTCAATTCCGTAGAATATACAGAGAATCACGCAAGAAAAAAAACAAACTGCGTGTATACAATAGAATTATTTTTCCGCCACAAGCATTACCTATGCGGTCGATGACCCACGAGACTTTCGCCGCAACCTTGACTGACGCTACTGTCATTCGGTTTGTGTCAGTATTAGTTTCCTACTACGTCTTGAGAAATTTACTTTCGCTGCGAATTCTAGTATGCAATGCGAACTGTATAACTAAGTAGACTCAAAAAAGAACACTTATTATTATTACAGAGATTTAAGAAAAATTTGAGTTACAATATATTTTATTCAAAAAAATAAATATCCGAGAAGCTTTATCATTAAAATAAAACTAGCGATCCGCACCGGCTTCGCACGGGTGCAATACTAATGTGGTGTCAGTGTGGAGTAATTAATTATTCTATTATTATGTAAGACTACTACAGGACATTAATATTATTTAACGGGAATTAACGCGATCTCTTATTTAGGGTATTACATACCTCTGGTTTGCCTGACGTTTCGACCAGGTTGCACCGGCCGTGGTCACAGGCTGACTGGCTCATCGGCCGTGTAATACCCTAAATAAGAGATCGCGTTAATTCCCGTTAAATAATATTAATTATCATGGAACGCGAAAGTTTAAAAGTTAGTACTACAGGACATCTTCATAGGCAACATTTAGGTATAGGCTCGCTTCGCTCCTGCCAGCCGCCAGACGGACGTACTTCCGCGGCTGCTCTGCCCCGCATTTTAAAAATACTATCTGAAAGCTACTAAGATTTTAATGATATACTGTAAAAAGCAATTTTGATCTACATTGAATGCACAATGTACCTAACGTATTTATTTGGATAAGATAAAAATGGTTACTGTGGGTTATCCGTAGGAGAGAGGCATATGCCATCGCAGACTTTTTAGTAGATCTTTTTACGATATACAATTTCGTTGTACATTATTTTGATCTATCTCGTAAGGTTAGCCAGCGTTTGCAATGTAAGCGCACAAAAACATGTTTTTTACGACTTCACATTACAAATCTTTGAAATTCGCGGATTTCTTCTACTAAAGTGCATGTATTATACCATAAACTCGCCCCTTCACTCTCTATTGGTAATAACTGCATTAAAATCAAAAGAACTAAGCGTACAAGAAAAAAAGCGACTTTATGCTACTTATAGATTATAAAATTACCTTAACCTATGTTGGGTATTATAATTTTATAATCAGTTTATTTCGAATGACGATATTTCACGCCTTCTGTGAATCGTCACATAAATATAATAAAAAATCTAATTGTGTAATTATTTTTTTTTTAAAATACAAACGCATTTATAAATATGTATATCAACCTCGAAATGCCTCCTGCCTCATGTAAGTGTTATAGTATACTTTAATGTCTTGTTAAAAACTAATTAGGATGTACCACCTTTAAGTTTGGAAAGTGTCCTTAGTTTTCCCAGTTCAGTCAGTAAGGACGTAGGGCTGTGCTGTAGAATAAGAAAGTAAATAAGTACGCTGTTGAGTATGAGAATGAAATGAAAACACAAATACTAGGTGTAATTCTATATTTTTCTCATTCAAATTCGAATTATATTTACCAAAGCGTTTTCAATGACTTTCAGAAAACTGTAGATTGGAAACTCCTACTTTTAGTGTCTGCTAACAAAAATGCAATAGATCCTTTAAGCAGTATGTACTAAAGTAACCAGACTGCTGATAAACAAACTTTATATTTCTAAATACACATAGATAAATTACACCCAACTCAGAACAAATGATCGTGCTCATCACACAATCATTTGTCCTGGGTGTGAATCGAGCCCACGGCCTCTGGCGCAGCAGTCAGGGTCACTAGATTAACAGGCCAGTCAAAGTTAGACAAAATATTTTCTAAATTCCATAATGGAAGAAAAGGAAGGTGTGATGTGTTGTTTATGATAATGATAGGAAATAATCAATACGAAAATCTTAAATTCTGCCGCATAAATTAAACTTGAACGATTCATTAATAGTTTCTCAAACTTATCTTTAATTATATTTTGCTGTTTTTTTCTTAACTTGTAATTTTACCCAAAATAGTGCACATTCTACAATATCCTAAAATATATTTAGTGGTAATAGTACTCGTAATAATACCCTTTTTTCTCTTATTACAGACCTATTTTTTTATGAACAATTTTATATTCGAGTTCACATAACTGAAATACGCCTAAATCTATCTCAAATGTTGTCAGTAGGTACCAATCAGTTCTTTTTATTGAGAATCCCATCCCAACCATGAGCCGGAACAAATACGATAAGAGAATTATATCTATTGTTGGGTCTGAGTCAGAATCAAAGTGTTAAAGAAGTTTGATGTGATTGTTTAATTTAAAGGGATTGTTTAAATAAAGGTCTATGCTTAGATCATTAATATGTGTGTAGTAATATGTGTGACATATTAATAATCTAAGGGTCTACGAAACATTTTATATTACTGCTTTATAGTGCCAAAGTCACTAGCGAGAATTTATTATATTCAAGTGTTATGCATGTAGGTAATGTACTAACAACACAAAAAGTGCTATGTATGTCAATTAATACTAAAGGATAAACTTTAACTATTTCATTAGAAACGGTTATACTTTTTAGTGTAATAAAATATATTATGTACATACGTTAGCATAATTTGTTAGAGAATCATAAGTTTAAAATATATATATATATATATATATATTTATTATATTAAAAAAACAAAAAAATACAAAAACATTAATGGGAACAACGAGAGAAAATGTTTATTAATTTAAGTATGTTAGTTGTACTTTGCACCTAAATATGTCTTAAATACTTAAAAAAAAAAGTTGCTACGGCCGCCTATATATAGCTAGGTACATCTCGAGTCCCAAGTGCGATGCCACCCTTTAAATAGTCCCATAATTAGAGTTAGAGGGGCCTCCCATAAACTCAATCACGTGTACAACAATAGAATTGCCTAACACCTATTTTCAATAAGGCTAATTTGATTGCCAACTCAACGGGTGTGATACCTGCCGTTGAGTTACCCCTTTAGAAACCTGACTATAGATGTAAAACAGCCGATTTAAAACGTTTTAGATAAAATTTTGCCGTTTAAACTCCAAATAAATCGTTTTAAACGGTTGAAAACTCGCCTACAAAAATGAAATAACTGTGTTTTACACTTCATTGTGGGCAATTTTTGGTCACCTGACGTCATGTTTCGTTTTAATTTATTTAATTCAGTGTCAACAAGAGAGCGCGAGTAATTAAGTAAAACATAGTCATCAACACCGACCATTTTAAATCGAAAAAAGGGTTATTTCGATTTTAAACGGGTTTTGCGTTTTAAACGGATTGGTTTTAAACCGGGCTTACATCTATAAACCTGACCCTCCCACAAATTTTACGCTAAGTCACACAAATCACTATTCCTCACTACATTTGTATCATTACAGGAATCCAGACCGGCCAGAAAACACTATATGGACTATCGATGAGTGTGCCAAATATTATCTTTGTTTGGATGGGGATGTCTTCGAGTTCCATTGCTCGGCGAGTTTACTATTCGATGTTAACAGACAGTTGTGTGACATGCAACAGAATGTTCACAACTGCGATCTCACTACAGGTATCTAGTGCAATCCCTTCCAATGCCTGAGCTGAACCTCACTTTTCATTGACATTATATCAATTATATTTGCAATAGTTCCTGTTATTCCTGTTCCTGTTATCTACTTACATTCACTCTATAAAGTTATGTACAAACAATTTTAAATATAAAGAATCATAAGATGTCTGTGGCTAATGTACCTATCATCTTTCACCAAAAAACATATTGGAAAGGATGTTGGTTAGCCCTTTCATAAAATTAGCAGCTGAGTCACGAACTTAAATTTAGTCTTAGCTCTGATTTTTTATTTAAATGAAGAACTTCAGAGGGGCCCGGCATAAAAAAGTAAATACGTATTTACATTTTCCTACCTTGAGCGAACACGAAATATTAAAGTCGTTGAGTTTTTAATTCGCTCTTTTTAACTAATATACATTAACCCTGGATTTCAATAAAAAATATGATTAAGTAATCTGTCTAAAAAGTCCTTCTGAAGCTGATGATAAATTATCACATCACATCCTGTAGGCGAATAGGGTAGAAGCTTAAATCTAGCTATTATAGTATTAATTTATGGTTCGGAAACTTTAGTTTTAAATTAAAGAGAGCATGAACAATGACAGCGGAAATTCGAGCGGCCAAGTAAGGTTGCCAAATCTCTATAGGATACTTGTGATAAGTTTGAAAGCATTAACGGTTGGTAAATCTGTTTCTTTGCCGATTTGGTAATGTAAAACAATAATAACACACAATAGGTCTAATTCTAATTGTTATTTTTTTTAGAAACGCGCATCCCAAAGCCACTGTTAGACGCAGCAGACTGTGCCAATGACACACATATTGGCTGTTCAGACGGTACCTGTGTTCCATCTGAATACTTTTGCGATGGCTCCATTGACTGTCAAGATGCTTCAGATGAGGTATTTAGTAACATCACAGGATTATGCATCATCTCATATTTCTAAAGTCTTAATTTTAAAAACATGCACCTACTCGTACTGTTAATTTAAAAGTCATGAATTGAGAGTTTCTTCTTAATGGAAGTCTTTGAAAGTTGATGATAATTTAGATGTCGTGGGAATTGACAATCAAATAATGATTCCACGCAGTATTGGCAATAGTTGCGAACAAGCTGTTTATAATTTCACAATTCCACACTTCATTTTAACTTGCAAGTCATTGAGGTTGTTAAGTAAAAAAAACGTTTTCTAATCTTCACTATAATTGTAATCTTTAATTATGTGTCCAGTGCTTTACGATGAGTATTTTCTGCCTATCTTACTAGTCTCGTGACGTTGACCCATGGGACAAATGACACCAATATTTTAGTCACAGAAGTTCCATTACTGTTAAGCCATGGGACTACTGCTACTGTTCTTTACTGTCTATCCTACTAGTCCCGTGACGTTGTCCTATGATGGGACAACTGACACTGTTTCTGTTCAGGGCTGGTGTGATGTTAACTATGACCCGAATGCAGCAGAACCTTGCGATGTAAACATGTGCCAATTGCCTAACTGCTTTTGCTCGAAGGATGGCACTGAAATACCGGGCAACCTTGTATCTAGTCAGGTAAGTTAGTAAAAAAAGTAATAACAATAAATAAGAATGATATCTTAAGTACGTTTTACCTTACCTAATAATTTATATACATATTATTTTAAGCAATTAATTTATTGAAAAACCTAAAAATTCGTTCATGTATAACATTGCTAGGTATTTTTTGGATAAGGTATAATTTGAAAATGTGCAATTTTTCACAACTTTTTAATATAACCGACTATATCGATTTTTGTTTTTACCTATTGGTTATCTAATTGTTTGATTAGGTTGGTTTGTATGATTATTTCAAAAGTAGAGAGGAATCATTTCTTTCCTGTAGGCACTATTTAGGTCTAACTAAGTACACTGCTCTACACTTTTATTAAAAACTAAATGCGACGTTTCTCTGTAAGTTGTGGTTGCATTCATAAGAAATGAGTGACAACACTATCGTGAAAAATAGATAGAAACAATCTTTGAAACAAGATGTATATCATGCCAAAAGTTCGGCTTAATATTTTACACAATGTTGTCTATTTCGATCTTTGAAAGGTCTACAATGTAATCTCCGTCTCACAGTCCCACAATTTCACTTAGTTGGTCACATGAAAGTAAAATGGACCAAGTATTTTAGATTTGAAATTATTATTATAAAATTTATCTTTGTTTTATTTTTCTTTGTTGTAGACGCCACAAATGATAACCCTTACATTTGATGGCCCCGTGAACCACGAGAATTGGGAGGTTTATACAAAACATCTATTTACTTCAGACATTAAAAACCCTAACGGTTGTCCTATTAAGGCAACTTTCTTCATTTCACATCCGTATACAAATTACAGACAAGTACAAAAGTTATGGAATGACGGACATGAGATAGCAGTAAATTCAATAACGTAAGTCATGCCAGGAGAAATCTAATACATTCCTTAGAACCCCGCTAAGCAAATTGAATAAATTACATATTATTAATGAAATTCTAACTAAACTGCGACTGACCTGCGTGTGAATCTAAATGCTTGTAAAAAAGATGATGAATCAGTAAACTTGAAAACTTTTAGGACTTAAGTTACTGTGCAGTATATTATTTTATATTATATAGGTTGAATAAATAAAACTAAAAGCGTTGAACGTATTTGCGCTTGACTATCTTTTAATACTAAAATATCGTTAGTCCAAGTCAAATACGTCAAAAAGAGTACTGCTTGGGTTCGCACCAATCTATGTATAATATTTATAAAAAAAATAGTTTATGACTTACTTAACAAGATAATATTAGGTAAACGTTTTACCAATATGAATATTTGATTTTATTAACTTTTTCTACTAGTCTACGAAAATCATGGTAGATTTAACAAAAATGATTGTCGTTTAAATCTGTAGTCCTGCTATGGTTTGCACCACGGTGCGAATATACAACGTTCGAAAAAGATATACCTACGTCGATTTACAATATGGTCCCAAACATCGTCTTCAAAAAGCTGTGTGATTGGCACCGTGGTGTAGTGTAAGCGGCTTGTGGTGTCAATCGACGTTGTACCCAATTAATGTACACTTTCAGATGAAAGTCTGCTGGATTGTACCTACTAATAACAACCATTTAATTTGATGTCTAATCAATAAACTCTTAAAATGTTACAGCCGCCGCGGACCGGAAGACTGGTGGTCCAAAAACGCAACCGTGGAAGATTGGTTTGACGAAATGGTTGGTCAAGCGAATGTGATAAACAGATTCGGTAGAGTTCGCATGGAAGATTTCAGGTCAAACAATTATTAATTGACTTCCCTTGCTTCTTATTCGAATTCACTCACGCATTGTGATATTTTTAACCGTAATTAAAAACATGCTGCATACATAACTATTTACTTATGTAATAAATGTTCGTAACAATCAAAAGATTTCTTTTAAAAATGTTGTAATTGGGGGTCAGGAACATTTTAAAATTACAACAAGTATTACTTAAATGCATTGGTTATATTAATAGCTACTATGTTATTAAGAATGTTATTCTGCGAAGTAAACAAAGTACCTACAAAGAAAGCTGTTTATGCTTAGAAAATATAAATTCTAATTTGAAAATTTAAAAAACAAAACTTATTATTTCTTGGTTTAACAGAAATGCGGGTGAAAGCTTAGTAGGGTCGTGTTTAATTCCTGTCACATCACATCACATCAATTAGCACAGCCTTTAATAGTCTACTGCTGGACATAGACCTAAATAATTCCTATAATTTTCAGAAATTAGATAAATATCGTCCCCGCTGGAAATCATTGGGAGAGGCCTATGTCCAGCAGTGGACAAGCATAGGCTGAGGTGATGATCCGAGTTGTGGGTCAAAGTGTTCGTTTTTGCTCTGTTCTCTTTTACATGAGATTATTCAATTCTAAGTAGATGTGTTTCGTAATTAGTTCTATAGCGCTTACGAAACTTTTCTACCAGTTTCGCATTAATGTTTTAATCAATATAATTACATGTTTTCTGCAGCTACGTAACCAATCGATGCTTGCCCAAATATGATAAGAACGAAGATCACAATATATTCATTGCGCTTTTAAGTTTCATAAGTCACCCTCACTTTGCAGAGGACTACGGGTTCCTTTTCTTTCAGTGGGATGGAATCGTCAGTTTCTGATGATGCAGGAATTCGGATTTGTGTACGATGCAACAGTGGTAGCGCCGTTGTCGGACCCTCCATACTGGCCTTACACTCTTGACTATAAAATGCCTCACAAATGTAAAGGTAAGATATTCAGTGACCATTAGATAGCCGGAAGTTTTCCTATTTTAAAAACTTCGTATTTTAATGAGTTTTTCTCTTACCGTACAAATAAACAAGCACTTCTGTCATGTCATGCATTGCAAATCAAAATCCCCTCTACAAGCTCTGCCATGTCCTCTCTGCTCAGCACCAGTCCTGTCAGTCCCGTTCACATCGTCGTCATTAAATAAAATAGACAAGTTAATTTTTCTTGTCAAAACATTCTGTTTTTAAATGCTTAAAATGATATAAATCTTTTATCAAGAAAGATGCAACTTCAGCGGTTTCAATTGAGAAGCTATAGTAGAGGAGCCCTAGAGGGGATTCCGGGATTTAGTCGAGCGTGGCGGATTAATATAGGAGGAATACCTTACACCCAGTTGAGTATCTCCACCATACATGAGTCCAATATAATAGGGCTAAGCATCAAGAGCAGCCCATCATACTAGTAAAAAAAAATCGATAGAAATACTCAGGCGTGTAAGATTAAGGTAAGTTGGGTTAATTGAATGCCGAAAACTGAGTATTTAGAACATCGGACGATTCTAGCGTGACATAAGGCAGTGTTGGGTCACAAAGTTAAAAAAAAACACAGGACCTTGACAACGGTCAGCGAGGACAATTTTTTGAAGCAAACTATGCAAGAAATCTTATTTAAATGTCTACATAATTTTTCGTGCCTTTATTTGACATATTTTGTAATTGAACAAAAAATTAAAGTATTACTAACCGTCAGATTTATAATACCCCGCAAAATTATTTCAGATTTTTGGCTAGCATGACAGCAGTATCGAGTTGACAAGTCTGTACAAAATTTAACATGCTCGGGTATTTCGAAATGGCGATTTTTCGAATAAGCAGTTTGCATTTTCGAAAATTCGCTAAGAGCTTGTGTCACTTTAAAACCGTCAGACCTTTCAATGGGAACATTTTTGGCGTCTAAATAACATATCCCCAAAATATCTGGTACGCCCGATGATATTTTTTTTGGATATCTTCCCGTTACTTTCATTTTCATACCGCTTTTCATACCACTGAAAGTGGAAACATTATATAACTTTTATTTATTCTATTACCTAATCTTTCAAATACAATAGGTTTCCATGACGCTCGAGTAAATACCCATTTAGCATCATGGGCTCCCCTACTATACCACAAAAAACTATTGAACTACTTACTAAAATCGATAATTATTATTGTATGTATGATGTACTAAACTAGTGAATTAATTAAATTAATAAACTTTTAGAATAATATTATTTTTATATCCTTGTAAAAGTGGTTCACCGTTTTACAATAGTACATTAAATAGATACATATATACCTACATTTAAAAACAAAATTATTTCAGCAATAAAAAGTAGAGCGTGTGTTTGATTGAGTAAGATGTTATGCACTGTGATTGTCGATGACGACGGTGAACGACAACTAAAAAAAGAGATTGCGTTTTGCTTGACACCATCGGCATTGTTACTTTGTAATAGGCAGTAAATGCTGAGAATGCGGAAATATCTTCAACTTACGTTCACCCTTAACGGGTTTGTCACGATTTACAAGCTCACATTCATTGAAAATATACAGATGTTCGTTGAACTGCATTGATTCTTGTGTAATTGTGAAAGTTTTTGATTATATTCAGAATGAAAATTAAAAGCAATAAAAACCACATAATTAAATCAAAAGGGTTTTACATTTAAAATTTATGGAGACTTGTTGACGGAGTCATCAAAATAACCCCTTGTGTGTTCATCAACGCAGGCATGTATGTATGAATGTATGTGTGTATGTTTATGTTTTTTTTTTATATTTATAGTATTATATAGTACGTATAAATGATATTTGCATTTATATATGTATCCATCTTGCAACCGACTACAATTTAAATAATTTACCTCATTATATACCTGCCATACACAAATCTCTGCATCACCCCAAGGTTGACTGGAAGAAAATGCCTATGGCATTAAGTCCGCCTTATGCAATGTATTTGCAGGAAGTATAAATAAATAAATAAAATAAATAAAAAAATGGAGGTATTTTTCAAGACAACATTTTTTCAGGGCTAGTCAAGTATTCGTAAAGCCCTTGGTATTTTGTAAACGATATAGGTAGGTACTTACCTCTTGCCACATAATATTGCGTACCTACCCACCTGCTTTACCTGCCTACTAAATCCACTTTTTTAGTTTCAAAACTATAGTTTTTGCCTAACATGTTCGTCCACATTAAACCTAGTTTTACGCAATTTGTGTAACATTTAAATTAAAATAACAAAAAATTTATTAAGTAATGAATATAAGGAATGAGTTATAACGACTTTGCCACTAACTGCAATATTAGATTTCATGAAGTTATATCACCGACATAATTGCTAAGTACACACACAGTAATTAGTTAGATGATGTGCCAATAATTACCTACTTGCTTCTACTTGAAGGTTAATTAACACTCAAAAAGGTTGTTACTTCGATGTGAACGTTTGATGGAAAAACATACATAAGATTTGATAAAAAGTTCACCTGTACGCCAATTTAAAAAAAGGCACTCTGGCCGGCACAGATGTATGACGAATGCCTCTCCCACGGTATAGCTATAATATATACATATATATATATATATATATATACATTTACAAAAAATGTTAACTTTGATGGGTTCACTTCAAAAATTCGGCACCGATTGAGCTCAAATTGTGACATAATATACAAACCGCATTAAAGATTGCTGGCGTCAGTTTTGTTCCTCATTCCGCATTAATACAACTACAATGTGCCACAGCTAAGCGTGGGGTATATCATATGGGTACAGCTGGTATATCATATGAATAAATATTTGATGACAAACTGGCCTTGTGGTCGATTCGAACAAAGTTCGCACACTTTGTTCAAAACGACCTTTTTCTAAATTAATATTTTATGTGGTGGATTCACACAAACTAAAATTAGTGTGCGAATCGACATCTGTAGAAAAAAGTGCAAGCGATTCGCACACATTTTTTTCAATGAAATTTATTCAAGAAAATGTTACCGTAGCGCATAAAAGTGGTACATTTAATTTAAACAAGGGAACGAATAATCAACAAAATATAAATTTGTGGAAAATATTCTTAATTCATAATTATAACTCTTAATTAAAATTCCTATCCACCATGTTCAAGAAGAAAATAAAACAAAAGTACCTACCTACTTTTGACCGGAACATCATATACAGAGACTTTTGTAAGATGTATATTTTCTACGTGGGAGAGCCATGCTTCGGCAAAAATGGGCCGGCTCGACCGGTGCGATACCACGGCCCCACAGAAAACCGGTTGTATAGCAATTTCTCTGTTGCATTTCACCGAGTGAGTGAGGTTTCCGGAGCCCAACCCTCCCTATATCCCCCCCTCATGATAGCGCCGTTGAAAGGTAATCTACTCCAGGGGGGTACCAGCTGCGTTAGCGATGGAGAATCCCCCTCTGGGCGTCCACGCTCAGAACATGGCGTGGACGTCTGGGCTGCCCCGCGTATTCTGGGGGGAGCGCAACAGCGCTCGACAGGATATCTGCCCGCGGCGGAAGCACATCAGGCCTTTACTCCAACCTCAACGCTGTCCACCACCACCTCGAGACAGTGAAGCCGGCCTTGCTCTTTCTAACCGAGACGCAGATATCATCTCCATCGGACACATCCTACCTCTCCTACCCTGGCTATCACCTGGAACACTCCTTTGTTGCTAGGGCTGGAGTGTGCGTGTACATTACAGGTGATATCAGTTCGCGCCGCCTCAGCAATCTTGAAGGACGGGACCTTTCCACCTTGTGGCTCCGTGTAGACAGCGACGATCATCCGCGCGTCTACGCATGCCTCTACAGGTCCCATAGCGGTGACACCGAAACTGACCGACTGATCGAACATGTCCAAATGGCTACAGATTCCGTGCTGCAGCAGATCCCATCCCCGGAGATCGTGATACTTGGCGACTTCAATGCTCAACGCCAACTGGTATCAACGCCCACGCGAGTTCCGGATGTGGAAAGTCATGAGTCTTCACTGTTGGACATTCTGCTGACCTCCTATCGGTGGCAGATCCACGCCCTGGTTCGACAGATCCTGCAAAACAGCGTCCCGCCGAAAGCGGGAATGCTAACAAGAACGGGCAAATGCAGCGACGGCAGGCGATGTAAATACCAGCACGCTAAAAAAACAGTATAACTTTGCCTCCAGGTCCCTTAAAAGAGCCATAACTAGGGCCAATCGAAGCACATCAGACGGATCAGTGAGAGACTAGTGAGACTTCCTTCTGGAACTCGTGCATTCTGGTCTCTTGCAAAGGCTGTCCAGGGGAATTTCCGTAGCCAATCCTTTCCACCCCTGTAGATAGGAGATAATTCGTTGGCCTATGATGCCAAGGAGAGGGCTGATCTCCTAGGCAAATTCTTTGTATCCAACTCGACTCTCGATGACGTTTTCCCGAGAAATGTTGGGGCGGCCGGTATAAAGGGCATCTCCTGTGCTATCATCTGCATAGGAATGGATGCCACTAGTTTGCAACATGTCATTGATATGCAGAAGAAACAGTGTGGGTGATAGCACACAGCCCTGTGGGACACCAGCATTTACGAATTTCAAGTCATGAGCATGCACCGTCGACAACGACCTTAATGCTTCCTTAGCGAAGGTTTCAGATTGGGCCGACTAAATCTAGTCCAGTTTAACCCAAAAAAGACACAGGTATGTGCGTTCACCGCAAAAAAATGACTGACTATTTAATCTTGGTTCATCGTGCGCTTCTACACAATATGGATAAATATAAGTCACACGACGGTATGCGAGTGACACAGTGCGCAGTGATCGGAACGCTATTTGTTTTTCGCCATGTTTTACAACAATCACACTGCCTTCCAGGCATTATTATCAAAGTTTTTCAAGAACACACGTACCTAATAACAGTTTAAGAAAATAATTTTAATATTTACGATACGTAAATTCTTTATGAGCGAAACAAAACACGTCTGAACGCGTGCCGCCATCGTTCCACACGGCAAATTTTCATCCTCATTACCTGGATGGTTGGCGCTCCACTACTGTGCGCTTTACGAGACACTTTTTGCCCCGCACGACCAATCTGTGGAACGGGTTATCGGCTGCGGTATTTCCGGACGGATACGGCCTTCAAACCTTCAAGAAAAGAGCGTACTCCTTCCTAAAAGGCCGGCAACGCGTTTGTGACTCTTGAGTTGCAGACGTTCATGGGCGGCAATAGACACTTTCCATCAGGTGACCCGTCTGCTCGTCTGCCCCCTTTAACATAAAAAAAAATAAAAAAATATATGTATCAAAGCTTTATAAAATATACTCTGCGCTTTATTTTTAATCGATTTACAAAATATGAACAAAACATATTCATAATTTGCAACATCATGTGTAAATGCAGTCATAATACATTGACGCTATTGTTACGCGGCGCGGTAACATCACACGTTGACACTTTTACTACACTTTGTTTTTCTGTGCGGAACTACCCTCGGATACCACCCACCAGTGGGTGAATATGTCGAACTCGAACCGACCAAAAACAGCACGCTGTGTCCGGGTACCAGTAGCCGGGGGAACCAGGTATACCCTAGAAAGGAAAGCCCTGGTACCCCGACGTACCTCGGGCCATCCACGGCTTATAGATGACCCCTCCTGTGTTGGAACCCGGATGTTCCCTTCCTGACCCCGAAGGGCGTGCGCGTTCCGTAGCGCGTCGCGCCTCAGATGACCGACAGATGACCTCACCTGTCACCCTCAGGCCTGCGCTTCGCAGAAGGAGACGGCGGAGTTCCACGCACTCTCGCTCCGTACCATGGCCATGTTACCTACCGTGAGAATTCAAATTTCGACGGCCGCCACGAGGCTACGCCTTTGCTCCACCCACGGCGGGCATTCTGCCAGTGTGTGGAGCGCCTTGTCCGCGGTCCGGTCATCGCAATGGTGGCATTCAGGCGTTGGCTCCTTGCAGATCAGATACAGGTGATCTCCAAAGCATCCATTCCCGGTGATTACCTGCGTCAGCCGGTATAAAAGGGTTCCGTGATGCTTCTCGAGTCAATCCTCCATAACGGGTTTTACCGCCGCGGTAACCGCGTACCCGACACTTTTACTACAGTCGAATCGAACGAAATATGTTGATTATTGCGTCATTTTCGGGAGCACAAAGGGGACATAGGGGTTCCCACACAAGAGGGGGTCATTTACACGCCGTAGATGGCCCGAGGTACGTCGGGGTGTCAGGGTTTTCCTTCCTAGGGTACACCTGGTTCCCCGGCAACGAGACGGCGTGCGGTTTTTGGTCGGTTCGAGTCCGACATAACCACCGGTGGGTGGTATCCGAAGGGATTTCCACACAGAAAAAAAAAAGAATGGGTCCGAAGCTAGTCGAGCATGTCCGAAATAAACACGTGAATAAAACCATATTTTTAATGATTACATTCGAACTTTACATTCTTATTACCTACTGGTAATAAGAAGGTAAAGTTCGCCGGCTCGTCGCGGGCAGCGGCGTCGCTTTAATGTCGCCGACATTGCGTCTACAGTTCAGCGACTCATGTTAACAATAGTGTTCAGCATAATTTTACTGTATTTATTTTGTTCTAAATTTGTATTTTTTTATTTTAACCGACGTGGATTGAATCGTTTTTTCTATCATTTAAATTTATATGATAACCTAAATGCCACGGTGTACATTTTTTATGTTTCAGGCAATAACCAATACTGTCCAACAAGAAGTTACGCTGGCTTATGGGAGATAGTTATCAATCCACTCTTTAACGGCCAATACACTTGCGCTACCTTGGAATACTGTCCGTCGACTGCTACTGGCGAAGATGTCTACAATATTCTATTGAACAATTTCAAGAGACATTACCTGACAAATAGAGCTCCATTCGGTATACACCTAAATTCGACTTGGTTCAAGAATAATGATTATTTGCAGGCTTTTAAGGTAATGTAAAACAACTTTTAATGAATTGCATCAAAATCTTAAGGACACTAACCATAAGACATTTTAAGAGTAGAATTGGCTGCCAACGAATGTAATGGCAATTTTTTTTATGTGAAAGCTTATTTAGGCGAGTTGGGCATTTTGAACATCAAACAAAAGAATGTATTTTTTTTAATGGGAAAAAACCATTAAACTCGCGACACTCCTAAAGTTACCGACACCTCTGTATATAAGTATCTACACAAAATTGTATGACCATTCTTTTACTGTTGAAGCTGCACGTTTGTGGAATGCATTGCGCAAATGATAAACAGCTTTAAGAGAACGGTTCAGGAATTTTATGAATCTTGATTAAGTCAATTACGCGTCAAGACATGATTAGAATGTTCCTTTTCTTTTTTCGTTTCTTTTATGTGATATACTCAACTAGCTATGTATATATAAGTATATGTATATGTGTATATGTATGTATAAGTATGGTATATGTGTTTTATGTGTAAATATTTATTTAATTTTACCATTGCACCTTCAACTACTACTGTCTCTCCAAAACATTTTAATCTATCCTAAGGTTGCCTGGAAGAGATAAAGTACTCTTAAATAAGGCCGCCCTTTGTACATTACATGTCTGATATTTTTATGTACCATAATACTTATAAAATGTGTGCAAATAAAGAGTTAGCTATATATCTACATATATTGGCCCTGTTTACACGAGAGTTGAGTTTGTTCTGAAATACATTGATCATATAACTATATATAATATAAACAAATATTGTGTATATACGTACAAGATAGATATATATTCATGTCAGAACTTTTCGATTTGAAAAAAAAAACAAAGAAACAATCCTCTTATAATCATTTTTTTTGAAATTTTCAAGTTTTCAGTTCTGTCGGTACTCCCGGAGTGCCACTGTTTTTTTGGAACGAAGTTCCTTATCGCGCGTTGTGAAAGGGGGCTAGACGGAAAAAATTCGTACGAAAATTTGGAACGACACTTTTAATATAAATTGACGTCTAACCATACATTAAATTTGCTTTAACGTTCGCCAACGTCCATACCATGTTGAATACACCGGTTCTCGTCCGATCACCGAAGTTAAGCAACATCGGGCGTGGTTAGTACTTGGATGGGTGACCGCCTGGGAATACCACGTGATGTTGGCTTTTTGCTCTTTATTTTCGTGTCATCTTGTCAGACATTTAGCGCCATCTATCGAATAGATAGGAAATCATTTCGCAAGGAGATTTTACCAATGTATAAATTGTTTTAATTGTTTTTAATATGTAGGTAATAGCCGCTTTCATAGATGGCGTTGTAATTAAAATCGTGTCAAATCAGTTTTACTCGATCGTCACAACTTCGTTCCTATCGGGTGTCCCACGACACCACGCGGCTTTTTTTTATAATTAACTTAGGGCATACTGAAAGTTCCTGGATTCCGATAAATAAGACTAGATATAAGACTTACGATACATTTATTGTTTTTCTAAGTATTTTCCCTCGCAATTAATGCATTTTTGCATTGACTGAAACTACTGTACAAAGCAGTTGGACCAGGCTTCCTTATGGACCTCTTCAATGGCTTCATTGACCACATTCACCGCCGATTCAGGGCTCATAAAACGTATGCCTCTAAGTTTCTTTAAATTTTTGAAACAATAAGACGTCGCAGGGTTGGAGATCCCGGCTGTAAGGCGGATGTGTCATCAGTTCCACATTTGAGCCTTCAAATAGGCTTCTGTTACCTTAGCGGAATGTAAGGATGCGTGATATCGTGGTGACAGGAGGACATTGCTTCGAGGACGCTCTTCGCGAACTTTTTCTAGGTGTCTGGGCAAGCAAGTGTTGACGTACCAACCTGTAGTCACTGTCCTTAGATCTTTAAGCGATACTGTAGTGTAATGTCCTGACTTTCCCGCACTACCGATTGGCTTTTTCGTTATGGTTCAAAGCAGTACACCCAGGTTTCGTCACGTGTTACAATATTATAGACAGTCAATGACTCCTCCGTTAAACTTTTTTATCATTTTACGGCACCACTGGACATGTAGACGTTACTGGTCCTGCGCAAGTCATGCGGTATCCATCCTTCAGTTGCACATTGAAAATGTTTTGTACTTGGTTCATTCCAATGCCTAACAAAGCACGAATTTGCTGGCAAGTAATTTTTTTGTCAGTTTCAATAAGTTGTCGCACGGTGTCAATATTAGAGTATGTAACCGCAGTCGCCGGCCGACCTTCATGTACCTTGTCATGGAGATGATCACGTCTACGTCTAAATTCTCCAAATCACGAATACACAGACCTGCAACATGGTGCTTTATCACCAAATGCCAATTGAAATCTCTGGCAACTCTCTTGTTGACTTAAGCCAAATCATAAAAAATCATTGAACGAAAATGTTAACGAGTTAAGTTCGTTTTGATAGCGACACCCATTTTCAGAAAGGACGTTACAATAACAAATGACAGTCTCGCAAATTAAAAAGTAACATATTCCCAAAGAGTTCCATTTTCGAAATTTATTCGAGACACACTATGGCAAATACCTACCGCTGCCGATACAAGTACTTTGCCGCCCTTTGAGTCCTCTCAGAATCAGGGAAAGGACGGGTTTGAGCACCGGTAACTTCATTCACTCTGTGAAACCATACGAAAGAATTGCTGGCTTTCCGTGAGGCCGAGGTCTCACTCCGGTCGAGCCGGACCATTTATGCCTAAGCATCTCTCTACTTAAGCATGGCTCTCCTACGTAAGCATAGCTCCCACATAAACACGGCTCTCTGTGATGAGTGCGTTTAGCATCAACATGATCGATTTCTCCACATATTTTTAGTTACATTATTCAGAAGTAATACCTACAATTGTCCCGTTTCAAATGCGCAAGTGATAGAGCACTCGCCTCTACTAGTAATTAGTGTGACTTCGAAGACAGCGTGGTTTTAATGGATTCAAATCCGGCATAAAAAGTATATTGCAGTGGAAAATCAGCATTAAATAAAAGCATTTTTTTTTAAGTAATTGAATTGTCATACACACGCCGACAGACTTAGCGGAACACAAAAAAAGGGGAAATTTAAAATGGTTAATTTTAAACATAATAATTAAACATGAACAACGATTGAATTAACATGTGTTGACATTAATTTACAACATCATACTTAAAGTTTAATGAAAAAAAAAGTAACCAAATGCATTTTTCTTAGATTTCGTAATGACAGAGAAACAGTTAAAAATTTAAGATTTTGTGACGCTTTACAATTAATTTAAAAAGTGTTTAAGTAATACGGAGTGTTCCGTGAGTGATTCTGCAAGGCATGGTGAGGAGGTTGATACAGGAATGTAAGTAAAAAAATTTCAAAAGCAGCAGCAACCTCAGCATTTGATACGATAATTTATTGTTTATATTTAAATTAAATTCATTATCACGGTATTGATTTTTGACAGTTTCACTGTTAATAATTTTCCTAGTGGTTTTGAATCTTATCATAGCTACTTTTAATCTTTGAACTTATAAAACTTAGCCAATTTACAGTTTTCTAAACAGCTTCGAATATGCTTTAACATAATTATGAAACTGTTTACTTTTATTATAATTCCTCTCATCATATAGCTAGTATAATCTTTTCCTACTTTTGAGTGTACCAGGGGTAGCCCATTCACTAAATGTGGCGTTACCTTTAACCACTAGTGTTTTTAAATGTTAAAAACGGTGTTAAATGTTAAAGAAAAAGTTTCAAAAAAGCTATTATATAAGTATTAGGGTTGTTCTCTACACAGAGTACTGAACTATCAAAGGCAACTTTAAGTTTATCCTTAAAGTTTTCACAACGCTTTGCGGTTTTAGGTATCACCACAGTTCTTTTTCCTGCCACCTTTTCATACCTATCACTATTTATTGATTGATTATTTTTTGTCTTAATTACAATATCTGTAAATATATTGTCCAAACATGTGGCAGTGGTTGCAGTGATTCGTGTCGGCTGCAAGAACAAGTTTTTGAACTCGGTTACTATACTTGAATTTTCCAATAGGTTAATATTGAAGTCACCACAGATGATGACCTTCTTTTTTGATCTTGTTACTTTAACTAATAATTCATCCATAACAGGTTCAAAACAATCATACATAGCTGCAGGATGTCTGTATACACATACTACTATGAAACCTGTTAGTGCTATACAGACTATTCCTGTAGTTTGCTCGACTGATAAACTAACAATGTCATGGCGCTTTTTAAACTTAAGTTGCTTATTAATGAGTATCATAGTTGTACCATGTATTGCTGTACTTCTGCTGAACGAGCTGCCTACCTGGTGGTGGTCAAAATTGAACATGAACTGATCCCGTTTTAGCCAGTGTTCAGTAATAAAAAAAATATCAATCGCATTGCAGTTCATGTACAGTTTCACCTCCAAGTCTTTGCCCATCATTCCTCTAATGTTTTGATGCACCTAATTGATATTATTTATCTTATTATTTTTAATAAATTTACTATGATTGAACTTTCTATTAGTGTTCAAATTTAAGAGTGCAAGAGGTAATCTCTGTTGTCTTATCTTTCAACGTATATATTATTTGTCGCCGCACCTCGGAAAGATCACGATCAGGTCATTTTTATAGGATTGATCTTTAATTTTTGCTAGATAAATTTTACGAACTACCGGTTCGCAAAATTTTTCGTAGTAGGTAGGTTTTTTTTTTAATTGCTCGTATATACTTAGATGCTCGTAACTGATCAATATGCGAGAAAACACAAAAGTGTCATAAAACTACAATACAATGTTTTTCAAATGTAATTTACGAACTTTACGAAAACAGAAATCAACTTCGAAGCAGTCGATAATGTATTAAGGAAAAATTGAAACAAACTAAAGAAGAAAATGACTGTCGACTAATGTTACGTTTTCAAATTAGACCTAAAATTAGAAAGTAATGTAACCTGCCAGTGTTACGAAAAAAATACATTAATTCTTCCTCTTTTTTTGTGTTCCGCTAATTCTGCCGGCGTGTGTAGAAACTGCTGCAACTAAGACTAATGTCTAGTTTATAAATAGTACCTAATTAATTTTCAGAAATTCTACAATGAAATATCAAAACTACCAGATGTATACTTTGTAACTTACAAACAACTGATTGACTGGATAAGAAGACCAACTCCTGTTCTACAACTGAAAAAATTCCAACCATGGCAATGTAAAGAACGTGTTTTCGAAGAAGCAGAGATTGCATGTTTTAAACCAAAGACATGCAAGTTACAGTCGAAAGTATTGGAGCATGATAACTACATGATCACATGTAGTGACTGTCCAAGGACATATCCATGGATTAGAAATGAATTTGGTTTTGATTAATTTTTTCTAGGAATTATTTATTCACAATTAACAAATAGTTACCAGTTCACCAGTATATAATTTGATGAGATTAAAAATATCTGTAATCATTTGAGGGATTTTTGTGAAATGTTTTACGTTATTGAAGGATTTAACTAAGTTAATCAAGTTTTATAAGTAATTAATAAGTACTTAATACATACACATTTTAAGTGGAAAACATTACTTTTATGTCAAGCATGTCATTTGACTAGCCATATATATTTCACTGATTCCAATAGCTATAGAAGATTTAATGAAATATTTTTCAATAAGTTATCTATAGTTGTTGCAAAAGTGAATGACATCATCAAGAATATCACTTTTTGTTATAAGAAAATCACTTTTTTAATATTTTACCTAAGTAAATATTTCATGAGTATTAATAACTAGGTGGAAAGCATTACACCCTCACATTGTCTAGCAGTATTTTATTTTAAACTTCAGGCATCATTCTATTTACATGTGCAATAATTTATTAGGTAGTGAAATATTTTATGTAAATTTATATCTAACATTTAGGTTTTAGGTAATAAAAATAACTATATTGCTTATGTAGTTTTACTTAATTAATTTACAGGAATATCACTTATAACAAAAGATATTTAAAATCAATATTACCCATCCTGAGTTATGAAAGGATTTGGTATCGCTTCCATTCCATCCATGGGACATATTAAAACAACAGAGGTTCCTCTACATACAACTAGACCTAAAGCTCTTGTGTCATCCAATAATTTGTAAGGATCATCAGGATCTGTAAACATAAACAGGCATTATTTTACTTGATTGCTCATTTTATCCTCTAAATATTAAAACATCAAGCATATTCTTTGTTTTTCTCATTAAAAAAGACGACTCCCGCATTAGGAATAAGTATTTTCTGTGTCTGTTAAACAAGGTATTATTTTGTAATAAAGTTAAAAATTATGAAACAGCCTGGTACAGGTCCAGTATAAATTTTTACTTGTCATGATACAAAATGCAAGTGCAAGTTATACTGGTCGGTGAAATTATAAGATATACCTGTACCTATTCAAAACAGGTTGAAATCCTCTAGTAATCTCTAGTATTTTTAAATGCACAACAATTAAAATTCAATGGTTCTTTTACATCCATATCTAGGGGGCCATAGCTGTATATAAAACCGGTCTTGATGGTATGCCAGCCTAAGTCACCGCCAAATTTGAGTTCATTCAACATGAGAGTGTCTAAACAAGTATGATCATGATTACTGAATGACTTACAGAAACATTCAATGCCTATGAATGGCTATATCTATACTAATATTATAAAGCTGAAGAGTTTGTTTGTTTGTTTGTTTGTTTGAACGCGATAATCTCAGGAACTACTGGTCCGATTTGAAAAATTCTTTCAGGGTTAGATAGCCCATTTATCGAGGAAGGCTATAGGCTATATATCATCACGCTAAGACCAATAGGAGCGGAGCATCAATAAAGAATGTTTCAAAAACGGAGAAAATTTATTACTATTGAGAGACGCAGACGAAGTTGCGCCGGTCAGCTAGTCAATGATAAAACTCTTGTTAAAAGTCACTAATGTTAAAATGTTGAAAAGTAACCATCTAGACTATGCCATCAATTTAATATAATCAATTCAGAATTTGAGAAATGGAGACTTACCTCTTAAAAACTCCGTAGTATTGTCTAATACAAGATTCAAAAGAGGATCATAACCTTTCAATATCCCTGCTGCTTCCCTACCTCCAGCGAACTTAACACGAATGCTCTTTTCTAAGTATTTACTTAAATCTAGAATAGATTCTTTTCTTCGCTTCTCTTTGTTGTCCCCGGCGCCCTGAGTAGACTAAATTGTAAACAAGAAATTAAGGTAACTGAACTAATCCAAACATAAAATTAAATCATTTTGCAACTGACAAGACAGTGAATAAAATAATACCTTTCCTTTGTCGCCTCCATCTTTTGAAGACATTATATGTAATTATACACTAATAAAGTGAAATATACTATCTATTTTAACTATTTTTGGCGTCCCAAAACAAGGCGATACGATCGTCAAAACTTTGAGGTTTGAGGTTATTGAGCTGCGTTCGTAATTATGAGTAAAAACCGAAAAGTAAAGTTCTGAATTGAGATAAAATGGAAACTTTATATTTTAAGTAATGAAAAAAAAATAACGAATCGAAATCGAATTTTCGAAACTCATTATTTATTGAGATGAGTAATCAATGAAGTTTTTGGGTAATGTTAGAACATGAGCAATTGTGGAAAAGCACAGAACTTCAGTTATTTTCGAACTAAAGTAGTGTTGTCATTGTCAATGTCAAATACGCCCTGTTTAGCGAAAAAATCGCGACGTAAACAAATATTAAAAGAAAAGCGTATTTACTGCGTAAAACCACAAAACATACATTAAATACGAGTATTTACGGCGATGGAAAGTGTTTTTGATGAGAAACAAACCACTTAAATATTCCTATCGATAAAAATCAAATGAGGTATCAATGCGCTCTTCGGTGAGCTACATCCTGTCACACGCACCTGGGGAGTCGGTGATGTCGCACCCTGATTATTCCCAACATGCCCAGCACCATGCCTGCCTGCTGGTGCTCGTTAAGGGCATCGGTGGCATGCTTAAAAACTTTAACAAGCTTTACGAACGCATACAGAGAGTCAACAATATCAAAGTTAAAGGTAATCATTTAATTCACCTTAAATGTTCCTAAGAAGAATGTTCGAAATCTGTTCTTTAATTTTTGTACATATTTTTAGATCCGTCTGGCCAAGTGAGAGATATATGGGTTAGATATGTCAGAGACTATCCTGTTGAGAACAATGACTGGGGTGACTTTCAAACTCACCGGTAAATAATAATATTTTTAATTTTAAACTAACTTGGCTTTGTGACACAGCAATGTTGTTTTACAGCTATATGGATTAAAGTTACCTATGTATTCCATTATTTTGTTTCTACAAATCCTTGACATGTTATGATAAACAATAAATTCATGTTTTTTTCTTTTAACATGCATATAATAACATAGTTATATACTATATGACTAAGATGTCTATATTTAGTTGCAGCAATCAGTAGTTTTTTTTTTGCCAAGAATTAAATTAGTCAAATGACTGTTTTTGGTTTTATGTATAAAGTGAATGGCATTCACTAAAGTATATTTTAAAAATTCCTTAAAATGAATCATGTACTGTCTAGATAAAAAAATGTAAAGGTATTTTAAAACCATAGACTTCAGTAAATTTTAATACCCATTGCCAGGGATGCAGCAAAGGACACAGGGTATCTTTCCTCCAGAACCAAACAATTGAAAAATAATGTTGATAATCCATCTTTATTTTTCCATTGTATTGTATTATTAAATCATATTTAAATTTTGATTACTTTAACAAGAACTAAATTTTATATAATCTTTGCAGGCGATTACTAGGGCTTATAACATTGAGTAAATTTATGAACCAAGCAGAGTTGAATGAAGTGTGCCGTGTACATGAATCTCTTAAAGTGAAATACTCAAACACACTGTATGATTCTCGTGCGTTCATGTTTGGACCTAACAGTAATATGAAGAAACCAGAACAGGAACCTGAAACTTATAGCTACTATGAGGAAGAAAGGCCTTTAAGGGATAGTTTGAGTGACAGGTAAGTGACCACAATAATAATTGTAGAAATAAACATAAAATTGATGAAATATAATATATATAAATTGTTTTGGCAACTATATGCCAAAACAACTAATTGTAATTTGTAATAAATTCAATCATATTTTGATATTTATTTATATAATTTAAGGATCTCAAACAAAGGCAAATACATAGTTATGACCTTACAGTAAATATTTCACTGTATATTATAGGAGACCACAGCATGCAAACATTATTAACAATTTATATGAAAACTATGTATTACATACAGATCACACAAGTCATCATGAGCACAATTTTGATGTAATTATAGATAGCAAATCAACATGTAGACAATATTATTAATAGCAGTGTTTTACCTGAAATAAAACATTAAATACTTAAATTATTTAAAGCTTACTAAATTGAGAATGGCGTTCTCTCTCTTTTGCTCTTTAGTAGTATTTATATATATCTATCTCTTTTGCATACATGCTTAGGCTCGGTAGAGTTTTACAATTCATTAAGTTCATAATCTGCACGAGGTAGAATTAGATTATAAGCTTCAAATAAGGTAAGTATTTAATATGTGCTTTATTTCAGGTAAAACACTTTACCATTATTTGAAGCTTACTAGATTGAGACGTGTCTGTTATCACCTGGTGGAAGGAGGACGCCAATGTGTAATCAATATTATCTGTGTAAATCCAATAATAATGAAATGGGTTATTAATCTATACTAATATTATAAAGCTGAAGAGTTTGTTTGTTTGTTTGAACGCGCTAATCTCAGGAAGTACTGGTCCGATTTGAAAATTTCTTTCAGTGTTAGATAGCCCATTTATCGAGGAAGGCTATAGGCTATATATCATCACGCTAAGACCAATAGGAGCGGAGCACCAATGAAGAATGTTTCAAAAACGGAGAAAATTTATTACTATTGAGAGACGCAGACGAAGTTGCGCGGGTCAGCTAGTATTACTATAATTGTTTAACAAATTGGTTAATTCACAACTAGGCCCTGTTATGGTTGGCACCAGCTGTATTTACACCTGTGTTTACAGTAATAACGGGCAAAGGTGTTTTGAGACTTCCAGTTACCCCTAGCAAGTATTTCATCCAAGGGGCATTTATTAAACCAACTCTTAGATGACACTGCTGATCGCAGGCTATCAGCTGAAGCGTCTATGCCAGCTTGTGATAAGAGCGATTTGACCCAACTAGCGAAAACTGTATGAGAGGCGACCTTAGTATTACCCCTAAGGTTAATAAACAGATTGACAAGACCACCTAGCTGTTAGTACAGCTACTACTATTAGTAATACAGTGCTTCATCTAAAATACTGAATATAGGTTTTTATTTGTTGTATTAGTGATTAAATTCCAACTAAATATATATTTCTATAGTTAATTCCATCTGTTTTAGATCCAAACGAGGACCATAAAATGAGACAGTCATTTGACTCAGAAAGGCGTGTTGAATTGCTCGCCTGCCTGAACAGAGTAGTAATAATGTCGCTGTATGTCTACAAACTGCAAATGTATTACTTTTATCTATGTCATAACTTCCTAAGTATGTCAATGGTTTGTCTACATCCCAAATTGTGGGTTTCTTAGTCACTGGCTTCTTCAGAGCGATTGAATTAAGGATAGAGGAACTAAGGTGTGTGAGTTTAGTCTAACAGCAACCTCAGTGTTGCATAAAGTGCAAACTACAGACTTATGTAGCAAAATTGAATTATAGGCTACCCCTTCTACAATTTATAGATCTGCCAAGAACTGAACCAGGTTCTGACCATCCGGTTGGAAGGGGTTTACCCCATGCTTCGTGGTCCAAGTTAGCCATCTGTTCCAGGCTACTTTATTCGTCTTCCTCGTTGATGGGCGCCAAGAAGACTAAGAGCTCTACCTGATCATTATTCCATTGTTCAAGGTTTTGAGACCATCCCCCAACACTTCCATATCTCCAATGTCGTCTCTTGGACTCTTGGCGGTGGTAGACATGTAGTTGTGTCTATCATGCATAGATGTAGGTTCTGAATCATGAACAGTGGGGCTAGAGCTAGTCTAGATGATGAAACACTTCTTTTGTTAGTTGAAGTAATGGAGCGGACCTGGTCCCTCCCTCCAATAACCGTCTTGTTGCCGCTTTGAACTAACACGGTTGCCCTGTACAAGAGCGGACCCCGACTTTGTATAACATCACCCGAGCTAACATCTTCTTTCGATTGCAATGAAGGTCTTTCTCTTCTTTGAGCCATGTCCCCGACATAGCAATGCCATTTTCTTTTCCTTTCTGATTCAGGAATACGAATGTATTCCGAAAGTGAAATCGGCCTTTAGTACGGCGACACTGGCAAAGTTTAGTAAGCCTACAATACGTTGTAGTTCTTTTAAGGTTACCATGCTTGTGTAAAAGGTTCCACACGCTTTCTTTTATTTTTGAGGTCTTTTCGTGTTGTAGTGATCTGTCGTTCAGCCATGGGTTCCATTTGATACCCAGAAAAATCAAGCTTTTGCACGGGGGTATGACAGATTTCTGATAATTTATTTGCCATCCCAGGTAGGTTAGACGATTTAACACTAATTGTATATGTCCTTGTAACGCGCGACAGCTTTGATGCGCTACCAGAACATCTTCGAGGTAGACCAGTATCCGTATACTTTCGTGTCTTAGAGTCTCGGCTACCCAATTCGTTAACATCGCAAAAATTCTGAATGATGTACTGAGGCCGAAGGGAAGGCACGTCATTTGAAATAGTTCCCCTTTGTATATGAATGCCTGAGGAATGTGTTGGGGTTAGATTCTCGAACTATTCTTTGCCCAGAGTTGGTTCTATGCGAACTTCGCATTGCGAAGGCTGGTAATATCCACAGCTCTGCGCAAGCAGCCCTGCGAGGACTGGGAAGCGCATGGCATAGCGTAGCATGCTAGATGGCTACTCTGCGGGGGTAAGTAATGATGAGCTGACACCTGCGAGGGATTGCGACTGGGTTTTTTAAATCCTGATTACGAAACAGGTTTATGACCACTAGCTTTGTTCTGGGGTAAGAAAGTCGTAACCCATCCCGCCTTCTGTAATGCTAATGATAGTAACTCAGCATTAAAAATGTGTTGAAAGGACCCCGGTATTTTGCTTAGAGTAGCCTTAAAAAGTGGGCCTCGAACATAATTTGTTATTCCATCTCTATGGATTTGGATCGTTTCTGCACGATGACCACAAATAAGCTGAAGCATATCCGAGAAAAATTTATCATAGACCTCATCAAAAGCTCCGTGATTTGGTCATGTAATTGATCCGTTGTCACACTACCTTTGCTCCTAGTCCAGGATACAAGGTCACAATACTTTTTTATAGCTGATCACGTTGTTTAAGTGCACAAAAAGTCAAGGCGCCATACGTTTTATCGGCATTCATTAAATATCAAGGGAATCGTAACTTTTTAGTTCCTCATTAACCTCCAGTTCAGTAAACCTAAGCGTGAGGGTATACATTTTCTGTACCTCCGAGTACCGAACCTCACACCATTCCCTTTGGTCAAAGCGTTGAATCTGTTGCAAGGACTTAAGAAAATCACTAGGTGCCTTAGAAACAGAGGGCTCCTTTAGTTTTAGTTGCAGGTCAAATTTAAACTGTCGATATTCCCGTAATGTTTCGTCGTCATTACACATAGATTGACTTTCAAGTAAAGAAATTTCGTTCTATTTATCTGCTTGTAAGTCTGCCGACCTTTGAGGTGACATTTCCGGTTGACTGTATCCCACACAGTTATCACCGTAAAAAACACAATTACGTAGTTCACTAACTTCTTGTGACAATTCAAACACCAAGTCGTCTTTGCGATTACTCTTTAAACCTTTATTTTTATGATAATCACGGCGATGTCTTTTCTTTCTTGAAGGTTGGAGAACTACTAGAACTAGACGTTGAACTCGGATTCGATCGTCCCGGCATCTCTTTTGGCTCAAGATCACTTGATTCCTCCATTCTAATTTGATAAAAGTTCAAGCTATTGTATAACCCAGACCTCTATCTAGGATGATTAAACACCAAAGAAAATTTAAGAACTAAAGAAAAAGAGGGTAATTTTACATATACACGTTACTATAACTTCTAAATGGGGCCAAAGTCTAACGGTAACACCATTTAAATGACTAATACTTCGCCCATTATAGCAGCGCACATTATATTGGTTTTATTCGATGAAGGTATAGGTGTATCACACACTCACAATACTTATTTTTAAATGTAATTTTAATACGTTAGTGAATGGCGATACTGTGATAAATATGATTTCATAATTATATATGTTTTATATATCTATATATATTTAACGAAAATTCAGCAACATTGTTCAGCCAACGACTGTTCTGAGAATTTTAGACGCCAATGAAAGCTGTCATTGGACAGCGCCACCTGGTAGGAGAAAGCATGTGTGCGAAAAAGATAGATATATATATACTACTAAAGACTATAATACTACTAAACAGCAAAAGTCAAGAACGCCACTCTCAATCTAGTAAGCTTCAAATAACGGTCAAGTGTTTAATACGTCACTGTATTTTTTTTTAACCTTTATATTTTAAAAGTGAAACACTGAGATCTTAGTCTATCTATCTATCTCTATCATAAAGATAAGTAAAAATAAAATGAATAAAAAATCATTTTTGTTTGCAATATGCTAATATTTTCTTTGTAAAGAGTATTTTATACTATAAAAATACTCTTTTACCTTTCTTATTATTTTTTTAAATTTTTCATCATTTTTTATTTTTAATGAGTAAGAAGAGTCTTTCGTAGCCAGCAGTCCTTTATGCTACTATTATGTTATAGGATTTCCCTACCAAGTGAACAAGCCGACAGCCTATCATCTTCAGAAAGCTATCCACAGTCTGCTTCATCCAACTCTTCATATCCTGTAGAAGAAAATTTCATGACACCTTCCAACTTTAAGACTCATGCTATGTTCTATGGTGAGAACGACCCAGTGCCTGATTTAGAACAGTGTGTAAGTGACCTTATCAACTCATTGTTCTGGGTTGTTGAGTCCAAGAGATTGGAGAGATCAAAGGAAAAGTTGGAGAAGGTGTCACTTCTGCTGGCTCCTTTTGAAAAAAAAGATTTCGTTGGTTAGTAACAATATATATTTTTTTAATCTCATGTACAATTTTGTCCTATGAAATTTATATGCAATAAAATAATCATATTCAATACAAAAACGCTTGGAAAAGTTACTCATGCAAATAGAAATAACATGTAATGAGTAAGTGTTCTGTCTTTACCTAATAGACAGATAGCGCTGGCACAATATTAGATCTTAATTCTAATCAATAAAATTAATGAAAAAGTCTAAATCAGAAGAATATAAGACAACCTAACATGTCATACATGTTACATGCTTACATAAACTACTACACTTATCCATGCATTTAAAGCCTTCTATCTATGCCAATACATATAAGTAAGTCAACTAACCTACTTAGAGGAGCAACACTGGGGCGCGGTATGAAAGAGAGCGGAGTCGCCTATTTAGGAGTGTCACGCATCAGTATCACGCGTTTTGTGCAACACAAGATTACTCGCAATATTTTTATTATTTGATTAACTCACAGTAGTACTATTATCTCTTTACTGATAATCTAATATACTAGCGATCCGCCCTTGCTTCGCACGGGTGCGATGTAGAGACTACTAATACTACTAATGTGGTGTCAGTGTGGAGTAATGAATTATACTATTAGTATAATAGGACTATACTACAGGACATCTTTATATGAAATATTTATAGGCCCGCTCTGGTCCTGCCGGCCGCTGTCACCCGCGACGACGTACGGCCCGAAGCGTCGACGGTCACTTTGCTCCGCATTTTAAACCTCTAATATGTTCTAAAATATTCATTGTATGATATGCTGCAAAGAGCAATTTTAATTTATATTAAATGCACAATGTATCTAACGTATTTAATTGGATAAGGAATAAAAATGTATTGTTTAAAATAGCTTCGTAAAATAACCTATTATTTTTTTGTAATATTTAAAAGATCAAAAGGGTTAGAGTGGGTCATCCTTAGAAGACAGACATATACCATCGCGGACTTTTTTGTAGATCTTTTTAAGATATATAATTCCGTAATACATTTTTTTGGTCTATCTCGTAAGGATTGGCCAGCGTTTGCAATGTAAACACACAAAACCATGTTTTTTACGACAAATCTTGGCAATTCTCGGATTTTCTCTACTATTCATCTCTTCTATTATACATTTAAACCTTCCTCTTGAATCACTCTCTCTATTCGTAAAACCGCATTAAAATCCATCTTAGTTTATAAAATCTAGGCTACTTTATTTTATATTATGTAAAGAAGAGAAAGAGCGTACAGTAACACTCGGGGAATTTGGTGGTTTAATATACATTTACATATAATTACAAAAATATTATTGTATTATATTAATGTAATATATTACTGTTTTAATCACATATAAATTATTACTTAAATTTATTTATTTTATTAGATATAATAAATAAAATTATTAAATATAAGCATATTAATTACATATAATTTCATTAATATCGTGATGGAAAGCTGCAGCAAAATTCACTCAATAAATAAATTCTAAATTCTAAATTCACTCACATGGTTGTAAACCATGTGAGTGAATTTAGTTTTACCAAAATCTTTTCTCAATATTTACATCAACAGAAATCACAAAACGAAATATAAAATTCTCCAATGTATAATTTTAAAATGTTTTTCATAATTTGTTCAAACTTTTATCTAATATTTTAAAAGAGATGCTGTATATGTTAGGTAAAATAAAGTTAAATTAGGCAAGTAGTATTTTATCAGCTACCTGTAATTGTTTTTGTGACAATCCTTGCACATTTTTAGCCTCTTGTAGATATTTAGCGGTCGGTCAAAGGAGTTGAATATTTATTACACATATGCCAATACTATGCCAAATTAATTGGTTGCAATTCTTACTCAAGTCATGGATATTTTTTAACCCTAGGCCTCGACATGGAGTCCCGTAATAACAAGAAGCGTTGTATGGGTCGCGTTACAAAGAACTTAGCAGATCTGACGTTACAAGCAGGCTTAGTCGCGGACAGTTTGAGCTTGTACAATTCCTCTACTGAAATGCTGAAGAGTGACTGGCTTTGGCTCGCTGCAGCTAAAGAAGGTAAAATGATTAACATTATCCTAATGTTACAAATAACGTTTTATTATTCATATTTACAATTTCTAAAATTAAATTATCTAATTTCCTGAATGTGATGTAGCCTAGTAACTAAAAAATCCATAACATCGAATTTGCAGTTAAAGCCTTTATACAGTGCATCAAAGCACAGTAAGGTACGCCCGAAACACCTTCCTGCTTAAATTATGAACAAGTTCTATGAAGTCATGAACCAAATTAGTCACAAACACTTTCTAATAAACAATGACTAATAATAATAATATTTCGGACATCTAACACACGACGCCATCTAGTTCAAACTAAGCAGATCTTACACTATAAAAGCTAGTTTTTTTTGGTCCGAATCCATTTGGGAATCGAACCCGAGACCTTAGAACAGCAGTCGCATACGCTACCACTGCCCACCGAGGCAGACAAAGTAAAATTTTTGATTCGTTTTTGAATTCATTGACATGAAATCATTTATATACATATTCATTTTACAAACTAATACACAATCATGCACACTAACACATTTTAAATGATAAGTATATTATATGCAGCATTAATTATTGCCCCAAAAAGATCCATATTGATTTCATCATTCACAAAACTATTAATGGGTAAATGAATCAACACTTTCAATTTGTCTGTTAATTTTTCAGGACTCTGTACGGCTTCTGCAATTCTCCTCTATCCAAACTTACGTAATCCCACACCACTTCACAGAAACGCCAGCCTTCAAGAAAATTCTCCAAATAAAGCCAAACAACTTTCACTTTTCCAACCCGCCATTGAGCCTCTCAGAAAATATAAACTCAATTCATCACCTTTAAGAACATCTAAAACTTCTAGTCCAGTGAATCCTCCAAGTGAATTAACCCCCACCTCCTCTGACAGCATTGAAACATCGTCTAGACAGTCAGAAACTGATAACGCTGACTCTGAATCTCTAGCTTCGTCAAGCGATATGGAATACCAATCTCACAGATCGTATATAGGACCAGACCTTCCTTCGATTCCTCGTCAACCACCTTCACAAATAAATAATCAGTACTTACTAAACGGGGAAGACATCGCAGAAAAATATCGTGAAGCTATTATGGATTACAGTAAATATAAGAATGCTGGAGTTATTGAAACTGAGGCATGTTTTAAAGCAGCCAGAATTGCGGTTGAACAGAATAATAGTCTTCACGCTTCCAGTTTCCTTCAAAATGTGATATTCATTAATCTGACCTTGAGCGAGCAAGAGAAAATACAGCGGTTCGAGACTCTCGCGGAACTTTATAAGGAAATTGGTAAGTTTTATGTGTTTTCTCTTCAAGAAGCTACAATTTCCTTTCCTAATGAACTTAGTGAGAACAATTTTAAAGCCACGAAAAAATCTTAGGCCAAGAGCTGATTGCATTAAAATATATTTCAGGTTTCCATCGTAAGGCAGGCTTTTGTCAACGTTTAGCAGCAACTAGACAAGTCAGTCCTAATAATCCTAGTCCGGACTGGCAAAAATGTTATTACCTAATGCTACACAGCTTCCCAGGGTACAAGCTCAGTTTGGATCCTAATTATGTTATTCAACATCAAGTTGGTAAGTTTGTTTATAAAATAAATGATTTTATCTTTACTGGTTTACTTAGTCTGTCGGTATCCTCCACCTACTATAATCGACCAAAACCAAACGGTGTCCCATAAAAAAAATCACCTGACCCATCTCTGTTTTTTTTATCAGGCTTTTTTCGAAAATTCTGGTCATTTAGGCAATATGTCACACAGTAACAGTTCTAGTTGTACTAAACCAACTATTTCTTTAAATATGTTAATAATGCTCCATCAGGTTGGCCAGCCTTGCAGATCCAATTACTCCAAGAATTAGTGGTAGCTTCCCGTCGTATGGGCCACCCCGCACTTGCAACACGTCACATGACGTTCTTACTGCAAACGATGTGGCCACACCTGTCGAGACAAGAACATAGAGAATTAGCCATACAGTTGCAGGTATAAATAGATTCATAAGTCAATTACGTTCAGCTGTTTGCTGCATTTTATTAAGTATTGTATTTAAAAAAACTTGTGTGTTGTATTCATTTTTATTAACAACTACCCTTTTTTCGGCGGCTTTTTGTTCGTATTCATCATCATCATCAACAGCCTTTAAGAGTCCACTGCTAGATATAGCCTTGTCCTTAGAAAGGAGGTTTTGGCCAACTATACCAGCTGGCCAGACGCGTTGGTTATGTGCCAAGTTTTCCTTCTCTTTGCAATGTTGTTGTAGTTTGTTCTTTTAGTCGGCTCTTACGACACCCACGGGAGGAATAGGTGACACTCCGTATTCTTAATTCGGCAAGCTCGTATTAATATACACATTTGCATTAAAGGTATCTCATTATTTGTCGGGACTTGTAAATTTTCTAGATTAAGAACTATGTTTGTTTCTTTACCTCTGGCAACCGTAATCACAGACTGGACGACGCAGATAAAGGTACAGTACCTATCGTGAGAGCGTTAATTGACGTAAACATAATTGTATGTAATGGAGTTCGATCAGCATTAGCCTAGCCTCCCCCAAGGAGCGCCAACCGTCTGATATTTAGTGTATATGCATATTTGGTCTCTCCTTTCTAAGGAGAGGCCTAAGTCCAGCATTGGACCATTAAAGGCTGTCGATGTGATGTGATGCATCTTTGTTAATGAAAGTCGAGTTAAACGTAAATCCGTACTAGTAGTGCGTGGTGTGCGCAGGCGCTGTCGGCGCAGTGCGAGGGCGGGCCGGTGCCGCTGGTGCTGGAGAGCGGCGCGGTGATCCCGCCCGCCAACCTGCACCACGCGCCGGCGTGCGGCTCGTTCGCGCCGCGCCCGCTGCCCGCGCCGCGCGCGCCGCACGCGCGCCACACCAAGCCGCCCACCGGACCCTTCATATTCACGCCCCTGCACTTCGGCAGCCTGGAGAGGAACGCCAAAAAGGACGAAGGGAAGATGGGTGAGACTTAAGGCGGCGATGTTTATAACGACTAGACGAATTGATATTGTATTTCTTTTAGACGTATGATAAAACGGTAATTAAATGCATTAAAATGCCCTACAGAGACCTTAGAGCCCGTATGTATAGTGTAAAAATCCCCAAATAGAACATCCGTAACACAAAGCCATACCGGCACTCGAGGGAATATCAGTGTCAAATGTTGCTAATCACAAATTATTGTGTACATTGCGATTATTTCAAATAAATAGTGTTAGGGTCCGTTTGATTTGGAATAATATACATTCTGACGACTAAAGAGACTTTATTATCACTACACTTAAAAACGTTCAACAACACTAAAGAACAATGCGGAATGATCGAATGATCGCCGAGGTCGCTGGGTCACACTTCTATTCGCTTCAATCGCTTCGATGTTTATCGCACTGTAGCTCGAACTCGAATCACAATAATTACATTAAAAATGTTCAGGTAAACTAAACATTTAACACAATTATTTCAAAGTTGTAGCATTAATCTAACCACTTTTCTTGTTTTCAGAATATCTTTGGGTAGAAGACGATATTTGCGAAGTGCAAATGAAACTGACCAACCCACTCCCGTTCGAATTAAAAGTATCCAACATGAGACTGCTGACTTCAGGCGTAGTATTCGAATCCATCCCAGAGACAATCATTCTTCCTCCGGACTCTCCTACTACGGTAAATCTTCACGGAACTCCCAAAGAAGGGGGAGAACTTCAAATTCTTGGATATTCCACCCATACTCTCGGTGTTAAATCAAACTGTCGTCTAAAAAACATGCCCACTCCGCACAAGTTTCCAGCTGCATACATTATTGAAGTGATTCCAAGTTTACCAACGATTACTATAGAAACGACAGTAGCGCCATCGGGTAATTTAAGTTTATCGAGTATGGAAAATGTGGGCAGTACTACAAATATATCGCTGTATAACGGGGAAAGCACGAGCTGCTCCCTAAAGATCACAAATACTAGTAACGTGCCTATTGAATACCTGGAATTAGCTATTCAGGTAAGTGACCCATTTACGCTAAAAGCTATGATGGATGAGAAGATCAAACGATAGACAAGGTTTGATATTCTCGCCCGTCTTCATTTTAAAATCGTCTTAAATAGAGATGACATCTATTAGTGATGTTCAAAATGAATCACTGAGCTGAAAAGTTAGATACATATAATTTCGCTTTAAGAAATAAATCACTCATCTAGCTCATTTAGATCAGTGAAGCAATTAAATTGATTGGTCTCTCAATTGATTCATTTCTTCGTCTAGATCGTTTAGCTCAGTAAATATCACTCACTTCAAACCTCTCTCGCTCACACAAACTTTTCATTAATACCTACCAATCCAAATAAAGAGCGGCGCTAAAACGTTGAGCCTGTGAGCTAGAACTGAGTTCGGATGCATTCGGAGCTAGTGGAAGTTAGTTGTCTTGTATAACTAACTTCCACTAGCTCCGAATGCAATGTGCTTGATTATAGATAGGAACCGCTTATATACTGAAATTATAACAGTCTCAAATAGGTATGTTTAAAAACATAGTATGTACCTACATTAAGTTCACCTTTTGCCTTACAGTCAAATATGGATAACCAATTACAATCAAAAGTCTTCCAATTCTCAAACGACGACATCCAGGCTCAACTTCCAATACCACCAAACGAAAGTACAACAATTGACATCAAACTGTATGGTGAAGCTGATTTCTTAGACCTCGGAGGTGTGGGGGGAGAGAACCTGTTTCCCAATAGTCTTACATCGAATTACCCTTCAAGAGTAGGCTCACCAATACCAAACACACAAACTTCTTTGCCTACCCAGGGTTCTAACCCTCAAAATTCCCTGAGCAGTGGATTTATGGCCAATAGGACATCTGGAAGCTTCAGGTAAGATATCACTATATATGTTATTTGTTGGGAAAAAAAGTACTGCTCAGGGTAGGTGCGATTTTTTTTCAATCCCTTCCATGAAATTTTTGTTTATGAATTTACAACTCGTTATTAATACTTGCCGACTCCTAAACGTCTGTAATTAACAATACATCTGAACCTTATAGTCTACATAAACGAAAACTTAACTGTATTAAGCCAAAAATAACACGTGAACACGAATTCATGTATTTCGGTTGCCCATTTTGAACAAGAGCCCAAAATGGCTGAAAACATTTATCATCAATAGCCTTTAATAGTCCACTGCTGGACATAGGCCTCTCCTTAAAAAGGAGGTTTTGGTCTACTATACTACGCTGGCCAGACGGGTTGGTATAGGGTTTCTGTCAAGTTTTCCTTCTTTTTGCAGTGCTGGTGTCCTGCGTTGTTTTGCGCCCTTAGTCGGCTCTTACGACACCCACGGGATGAATTTTGGTAGTGACATTCCATATTCTTAATCCGTCACTACACGGACATTTATAAAAAAAACATTTCAAAATATTTTTTAAGTTCTCATTAATTTTTAAATACTTTTTGCATTCCTATTTTCTGATTTTCTTTGAGAATTTTGTTTTTATAACCAGGTTATGTTAATTTTAGGTCTACGAATTCTCATACAACGAGCTGGTCGGCACCTCTATCAGTTCTGTCACCATCTAGGGGCCGTCAAGTGGAAACTCAGGTAGATAGGACATTGTCTAACTAATAAGACTTTCGAATAATGATATCATCGAAATGAAATTTTAATAGCTACCTATTTCTTGTTTGAGCAGCCTTTACTTTTAATACTTAATTTAGCTTTTAAATCTGGAATTATTCCACTTCCTCTTTAAGACTCTTCTTTTTATTGTGCTGAAAAAAAAAGTTGTTATTTGTCTAACCTACCACAAAGCTGTAGTTGAGACATCAGAGAACTATTTAAGAGAACATTTAGTAAAGTGCCTGAGTAGCTTTATTAAGAAAATATATTTTGTTTTATATCTACAGTTAATTATAAGATACTCAGGCGGCGAAGGCAAGGAGGTACACTGTCGACAATCAACGCTGCAAATTAATCTGGAACTGCTGCCGAGTGTTTCTATTACGCACTGGGATGTTCTCCCGGCAGAAATGTAAGTCTATACTAAATCTTCTTTGCCGAGTTCTGAAAATTCACCAACCACTACCCACCTCCAACTGGCCATTCATTTGTTTTGCCCTCTTGATTTCCACATACTGTGTGCACATGCTAAAAATATATCTCGTCATTAGATAGGTATAAGTATAATAACGTGGATCTGAGTATCTCGCGTAGGTATTAAGCCCTTCCGAGTTGTCACACATACCTAACAATTTAAAATTGACATTCAAAATTCTCAAGAAACCTAAACAAAATATTTATCTCTGTAGTTGGGAGTCCAAGGACGCTACATATCTAAGAAAAATAACTTTTATAACAAACGTCATATCCATTTACACATTACTTGTTTTGTGCAGCCCATCACAACTTTACCTGGTGCTCGACGTCACAAACTTGACGCCTGAGGAAATGGACTTCCACTACGCTCCGAGCAAGCACATACTGATCGAGAGTAAAGAGTCGTGCAGAGTACCTGTGCCTTTAGACCGATGCCCCTTTAATTCAACACCCAGTAAACCAATCGATGAAGGTTAGTCAAATTGAATAACTAAAGAGCATTCCATTTATTTTGATCGGTTAATTTTATTATAGTGGTGATGGCTACAACAGTATTACGTCTTACTCTCTCACCATCTCTAATAATTTTGAGAGCTTACTTAATCATGTACCATAATATAGATGATTAGCTTAAAATGTTTCTGATTATTGTAGCCCTTGGTTAGAGTAACTAATGATCTCCCTAATCTTAACCTAGTCACTTGATTCTCTGAATGCTGTCTGGCTGTTACCAATTTCTGCCAATTATAATTTCAAACAGAATGCTATAAGTGAGACGATCACTTCAAGAATCTGCCTACTAAATCATTAAAAATAATAAACGACCCTCATTTCAAAAACTGGAGAAGAAGAAATATGATTTAAAAAAAAAGAAACTTTTTTACTATAATTTCTAAGCTCATGTAAAATTGATCCTTCAGCCTAACTAATTTTTTTAGCGATTTTTTATTTTTAGATCTTGTAGATTCCAAATCAACGAACACGGGTGCATCTACAAACAGCTTGGAGCTAATGTGTTCTGAACACATCACCAACAACATCGACTTGCGCTGGCATCTCATGCAGTCCGACATCTATGGCCGCGCTTCCGTCAAGGGCATCACGCTCTCACAAGCCATGATGGACATCGTTAGAATGTCGCCGCTCAACTGGGGTAATATACCTACCATTTTATAGCTTTCATATCATACTAATGGTAGTACAATAGAAATTAGTTGGAGTTTATCATGCGGGCATTTAAAGCCAACTCTTGTCGATTAGAAAATAGTGACGTATACAATTTTTGTGAAAAAAAAATGAATTTTATCTCATACAGAAGTGAGCTTGAACAGCCAGTGTATCAAGCCCCAAGAGGAGTACAACTGTTCGGCGGGCGAGTGCCTGTCACTTGGTGTCGCGGTGTGGAATCACCTCACCAGGCCGCTGCACAAGCTCTGTCTCTCTGTGCAGTTTTACCAAGACTATAATAACGGAGTACACAGTTATAAACTCGACAATCGCGTCGCCACTGCTGGAAATAATAAGTGAGTTGTTAGCTTTCTCTTATATTGTCCTATATTAGACGAAATTTTATGTTACTGTTTAAAACTGAATTAAATAACGCTAATAAATGTAAGTGGTATAATTCACCCTTAAAAATACGACGTAAGGGTTCTAGTTTTTATTACTTATAGAATAAATTGGTATAGAAAAGTCGTTGGTTGTGATAAAATAAACTACGAGAATATATTTTGAGACGGGTAGTTAGTTTCTTAACTATTCGAATTATATTTTGCTTAAAAAGGCAATCACTTTAAGGTTTTTTTTATTTCAAAAACATTTACAGACCACCAATTAGTTCCATTTAGTGTGTACAGCTTACAGTTGTAGACTGCACGGATGGCGTAGTGGTTTATGTGGTCACCTCGCCGTTTCCTACTGTGCTGAGTGTTGTGGGTTCGATTCGTACACGGGACAACACTTTGTGTGATCCACAAATTGTAGATCTAAATTTGATTGTTCTTTGTGTTAGTTTCATGTATGTTTGTAAAGTCCCCCGCTTCACAGGATATTTTCCTAATGCGGAAGTTGTATTAAAAAAAAAATTGGAAACCGATCTATATATTAAAAAAGTGAGACCAGAAACGACACGCAAGCAAGCACACCTACTTATGGTTACACTCGTAGAATTTTATAATTCATTCTGTTATTTTACGCGTTTTAGAGGTTAATTTTGCATTTTCTTTCTTTCAGAGTGGTGTTGACATCTTTGCCGGAGTCTGCAAAGGCGTACCATGAGTGTACCGTTGTCTTCTTAACTCCAGGAGAATATAAGATTGACATTCAGTGTTCTACCACTGAACCAATACTAGACGAGATTCCTATTATCAAAGACACTGACCCGCCATCTATAATGCAACCTTGTGCAGGCGAAGTCAGCCATGTTTGGAGGTTTATACCGCCTGTAGCGATAAGTGTCACAGATTAATTTATAAATAAACATTAATGATTATCGAAATTGTTAACTTATTTATGATTATATTATATTATTTTGCATCTTAACAAATATATTCATTCATTGATTATAATATTCAAATATATTTTTTATTTGTTAAATTTGGGTATATACCCATTAGCTATCTTCGCTACCGATAGGCACATAAAACACACAAGAACAATACAATTTTTAACTTAATAATAATATGATATGATAAAAATGATTTTATGTTATTTATGACAGCAAATTAATAAAAGATCTCCGGCTTGGTCCTTTGGCGTTACTTAGAGATGTAGCTTCACTCTGAATTCTCTATCGTATATATCATGGCGAGTGCTCCAAGGAATTGTTCGGACTATTACCGGCCGCAACTTTCCGCTATCGTTTCACAAAATTTTCATCTCCATCACTTGGGTGATTGGCACTTCACCACTGTGCTCTTTTCAAGGCACTTTTTGCCTCGCACAACCATTCTGTGGAACAAGTTGTCCGACGACACGTCCTTCAAGAAACGAGCGTACGGCGTTGCCGGCCTTTGAGGAAGGAGTACGGCGTACGGAGGCAACGGCTTGTGACTCCTGAGTTGCTGGCGTTCATGGGCGGCGGTAGTCACTTTCCCTCAGGTGACCCGTCTGCTCGTTTGCCCTCTCTTCCATAAAAAAAAAACGTTTTTTAAATTTTACTTGTGCTTAAACCTTTTTACCTTGGTACTCAATAAATTTTAATATTGCAGATCAATGGAAAGATTCTGATTTAAATGCGAAATGTAATAAAAACAAATTAAAAATCTTTTGATTGTGGTTTATGTGTTTAATAAAGTAATTATTTTTTAACTAGGCTTTTTATTACGTGAGATTGAATACACCAAAAAACTGCTTGTATACATCAGTGTTGTTGCAACAGCTGTAGTTTCGGTATCGTATATCGACGTGGCAATTCTATCGATCGATAATATTGATATGAAAAATAATTGCCAGCAAATTCGTGCTTTTTACATGTCCATCTGAAGGTTCGGAAGCTTTGCACACGATGGATACCGCATGACTTAAGATATGACCGCGTGTCCAGTGGTGCCGTAAAAAACATAACGGAGGACAGTCATTGGTTGTCCATAATATCCTGACAGGTGACGAAACCTAGGCGTACTGCTTTGAACCCGAACTTATCAAAATCCAGAATCTTCCAGTATGTCCTAAGTAAATAATATCAATGAAGTATAGATACGACTATCGGGGGATCATCTGTGCCTTGTGTCTCGATTGCGACAACATCAAAGTTATGAGCGGAATCGCGGGGATCACAGTAGACTTCACAGACTGTTGTTTCTCAAAAGCTTAGACTTCAAGCATTGGGTTAGTTCCCAATGCTTAACTGTTTTAATGTAACAAGTAAAGGAAAATGGCATGTATGGGACTTTTGTACCGCTTTGCGTATCTCATGGTACAATAATCCCATTGTTGTATTTATTTGGCTGCCAATATCATAATTATTTTCAGATGTTTAGAACTTTGGGTTCAAAAGTTATTTCAGTTCGTAGCTTACAAATAAACTGTACTGAAGTCGATACCCATGGCAGCTTGTCATTGCTGTCAACCGCAACAAGTTAACGTAACGTAGGCACGGTCGGAGATGGCCCGTGAGGATGATCTCCACTCGGTCCCAATTCGCGGGCGACGGAGGCGCGCTTACCAGAGCCTCATGCCGCCCTGAGTGTGGTCGCGGGTGGACGGGACGGGTTTTCCCTCCACCCGCTATAACGGTCAACCGTGAGGAGGCGACGTCCGCTTGTGCCGGACGTCGCCTAAACAGAGAATGTACCCGAAGGTGGTACCCGCGCCGTTGCGGGGAGGTGCTCGGAGTGGTCCGGATGTCTTAATAACAGCAGTTCCCAGGCAGACAGACGCAGAGTGACACACCGTGTGGTTTTAGTCGGTCCGATTCCGACACACCACCCCGCCGCAAACCCCGGTGGGGTGACGGCCCGAGGGGGTTGCCACAGGTAAAAAAAAAACGCAGGTACCATAATCTTCAATAATATAAACACACTATTATGGCTATCTTTGTAAACCTTTCTACTCTCTAAATAACAATTTAGAAACGTTGAGAGTAGAAAGGTTTACAAGGATTAAGGATGCTGTTAATGGCAGTTAAGTTACTTTTTTACGTAATGTTTATGATTAATCTAATTGATTTGAACAAAAATGACTAGCTACTACCTTTACCTACCTTTAGTAGTAAAAAATTGTGTTTTTAGCTGCTAAATACTTAGTGAGCTCTTTCGTAAATATTTATATTGTTTATATTACTAAGCCAAGATATATTTATATCACAATTATTTCTAAGCTTTATATGCTTAAATATTTATGCATAAATAATTAAGCATATTTATGCATAAATATTTAAGCAAATGGTTTAGAAAGTTTAGTTTAGTCCCATGTCTTTTAGCACACCATTTTCCATTTTTTCTACTGGTTAAATAATAAAACGTGCTGATTATTGCTTATTGTCATTATAGATTGTCTGTCAAAATTGTCAAAACTGCGGTTGTGGATTCGCATTTTGTTTTGATTTGCAATATTTAGCTGAAAACTGGTATTCCTTGTCTGGTTTACATAATTAAACTGTTTATATCATGTCGACTACTCACTGTGCTATCGAGAATTGTAGAACAACTATTCTCAATAAAACACCGGGAATATCATTTCACCCGTAAGAGTATTATTTTATTTTCTAATGTCTGTTCTGTAGTTTTAAAAAGAAATTTGCTTACTTCAATCAACAGCATTAAACAAAAAATTGTACCAAATTCTCAAACGTTAAAACGGATAAGACTTTGAGGAAAAGTAAAGATGAGAATGTATTAGGTTATGAAAATTATTTGTCCCATGCAAACAAATTACTTCGGTTACCTTAATATTATTAATTGTATTGATTTTAGATGCCCGCGATCCCCTGAAATGCGTAACAAATGGCTGAAAGTGCTTAAAAACAAATGTTCAATGTTAGATTGGGCAAAAAGCCGTATTTGTTCAAAACATTTCGAACTCAAGTATTTTGATGCTCAAAGAAGATTAAGGAATAATGCTATACCTACGTTATTTGCGCCAGCTATTCAAAAAGTTTCTGCTAGAGTAAGTATACGAATTTTCAATATAATCATGTTACATACCCTTCAATAGCCGGTCATACCGACGAAGATGCACTGACGACAATCATAGGTTGACTGCAATTTGCAGTCAGTCAGTACCAGTCAAGCTATGACCAAGGGGTTATTATTAATTTCCATAGAAATAATTGTATAAAGGATAGATTGCGGTAATAATCTTGTTTACTTCAAATACATTATAGATCTATCTCTTAATGTAATGTCCAAAATATTTGCTTACTTTATAGTCAGCTAGTTGTCATTTTAAATACTTATCTAATTGACATCTTCTGTCCATTTATTTAGTCTTCCTACTCGCAAGACCACACAAAAACTAGGGTGGACAGGCTATTGAACAAGCTGACACAAGCAGAATTAACCGCTGACATCAAGAACAGTATAACAAAACATAAAGAGCCTGTTAATCTGGATGACTTCATTACAGACGACTTAAAATGTAAGCCTGATGCCCCAAATGATGCCCATTTGTGGCTTATGGTCAAAAAACAAGAACACTTGAACAACAGACTAATGGATTTAGTTGTACAAACTAAAAAGCATGTTGAAATACTTCAAAACAACATGGAGGAAGCTAAAAATTCTAAGATAGAAAATGAACGAACTATGGAATCTTTAAAATATATTGTCAAATGTCTCCAAGAAAAACATGCAACATTGGAAGAACAGATTGAAATTTTAACTGCTGTTGAAACACGGTAGTTACTTTAATTTAATTTAAAATTAACAAGGTAATAGATTAATATTAAACATGTTCAGATATACTTTGTTTTCTTAGTCCTTACATTGTCCTGTATTTATTGTAATTTAAAAAAGCTTTTGATGTTCAAGAGCCCACATTACAGACCTGAGATGAGATGTAACAATTTGCTGTATGATTTGCTGATGTTGATGTTGATGATTTGTTGGTCCAGATGTGGTATTTGATAAATATTTTGCATATATTTATGGTCTATAAATATTATGCACAAATATCTAAGTTTACTTAAATATTTAATTAAAAAATGTATGTACATTAACTTTTTTTAATTTATCGAGCATATACTATTTTTATATTATATTTTTTTTTTTTTTTTTCTTAAAAAATACAACTCCCGCACTAGGAATAAATCCTGTGTCGCGGGGGACTTTACAAACATACATGAAACGGACACAAAGTACACTATTATTGTAGATTTAAATTAGGAAAAAAAAGGATGTGTATTATAAATCAATTTGCACATACAAGATGTAAAATTGAGACCAATATCATTATCATCATCATAGTCTTTAATAGTCCACTGCTGGACATATGCCTCTTCTTAGAACGAGGTTTTGACCTATACCACGATGGCCAGACAGGTTGGTATAGGGTTTGTGTCAAGTTTTCCTACAGTTTGCAGTGCTGTTGTCTAGCGTAGTTTGCTCCTTTAGTTGGCTCTTACGTTACCTACGGGATGAACAGGGGTGGTGACACTCCACGGACCAACATGATATGTCTCTATGCCAGAAGACCAATAATATCTTGGTTAAATTTAATATAAGTGTAAACTATGTTTTCCATTTGATACAATTGACAATAAAATACAATGAGTTAGTATAAAATATGTATATTTCTTTAATAATTTACAACTATAGCAGTCTTTAGTTAAGAACATGATTCAATTAGTCATCCAACACATTCAGTCTATAATAAAGATCATGATTTAAATATTATAAGTAAATAAATAAATTAATTCTACTTTAATAAATAATGCACATTATTTACGTCTTAACTGTTTCTCTAGTATATCTCTCAATTTTAATTTCTTATTACTTTTATCAGCTAAAGGTCTTCCAAGTGGTACTATTTCCATCTGCTGTAAACGCCTCCTAAATCTCTGGTAAAATTCTAAAACATTTGGGTCAGCCCAAACATGACGAGAATCAAAGTCTAAAACCCTAAGTGTATCTAAACTTTGTGCTCTACTCAATGCTACATATGCTTGCCCAGCTTCAAATATTTTAGATAAAGACATTTCAACACAATCTAGAGTCAAACCTTGAGATTTGTGTATAGAAAATGCCCAGGCCAGGTTAAGTGGAACTTGCTTGCGGCACAGCAAAGACCCATTTGAATTCTTAACATACCAACGTTCAGACCTGGCTGTGTATTCCTTTTTATTTTTAAATCTTACAACAGGAAACCCTTCTTCAAATCTAACAACAACACCTCTAGCACCATTCACTAAGCCAGCATTGACATTAATATTTTTCAGTAACATGACTTGGGCTCCAATTTTGAGCATTAGTTTTGAAGGAGCTATTGTCTGCATGTCAAGTAATTTTGTAGCATTGTCACTATCTTGTGAAGAAAACACTTTTTGTTCACCTTCTAAGTCACTTAACTTTGAATCATTGATCATTTTAGAGTCATTGGTGTGTGAACACAATCTGGTTGCTAAAATCCCATCACTTTCTATCTTTTGCCTGGATGTACCAGTGAGACGGTCACTTATTTCCTTTGTGACTCTTCCAATTCTTATGCTATTGAGAATTGAAATGAACTCAGAATCATTTTGTCTATGGACCTGTTTAAGTTCAAAGCAGAGTTCAATGCACTTGTCCCAACAAGGTGATTGGAAACAGAACCTTTTGCCTGTTTTGCCTTTTTCAACAACTGGTGGCAGTTGGAGAAAGTCACCACAGAGAATGAGCTGAATACCACCAAATGGTTTATCATTTTTTCTAACATATCTTGCCACTGCTTCTAATTTCTGAAATTAAATAATTATAGTTAACAATAATCACATATAATTTTGGTATTACCAATATTCAAGCCGATGGTCATGGGCATTTTATATTATGAAATGTTAAATAAAACAAAAATAGGTATCTACCTCAAAGAAAATGCCATCCACCATAGATATTTCATCAATAATGAGGTGTTTACACTTCCTCCACTTTTGAGCAACAAGTGGAAGCTTCACTGCCTTTTCACATAAGTTTTCCAATGTCCCACTGCCATCTCCAATACCAGCAAATGCATGAAGGGTTGTACCACCTGAACAAGGAAGAAAATAATACTAAGCATATCTTTCCTTTTCTTAAAAAGACAACTCCCACACTAGGTATTTATACAGCGTTGCAGGGGATTTTATAAACATTCATGAAACTGACACAAAGCAAAAATGTATATAATTTCAATTTTTTGAAGATCTTACCAACATGACAAGCAGCCACTCCTGTTGATGCAGTTGGGACAGTCACATCTGGTGGCAAAGCTGCTACTATTCTTTTCAATAGAAAACTTTTGCCTGTACCGGCAGATCCAGTAAAGAATACATTTTTCCCACTCAAACAAGCTTCCAATACTCTCTGCTGTTCAGGATTCAGGGTACTAGTTGTTGTCAGTGGCGATGGCGAATACAGCTTTTTAGGAGCAGGACCTCTGGAACTTTCATCCATTTTACGCTTTTTAGAAGGTGGGGAAGGCGTTGTAACCGTTGCCTTCGAAATTTTTTTCTTAGCATTGTGCACATCAGCCACAGTTACAGGGCTTATTTCCTCAAATGCCTGAGCTTTAGAACTCAATAACTTCGATCTCATACTTTGTTTAGAAGGAGTAGTATTTGCACTCTGTTCTTTATCACCGGTCATTTTAACAAATATAGTCCGTAGGAACGACACGAGATTTGTCGGTGGAGCGTTCGATATAAACAAAGTACAACCAGCATCTTGAAATTTTACACTAGCCTTACCTTCTGCCATAAACTTTTTAAACACATTAATACTCTTTAAAGCTAACTTGACTGCAGCACTTTTATCATTCGATATCTCCATAAATATTTCACGAAACTCATTTCGTATCAATCGCAGTGATGCCGTTTTGTAATTAATCTTCCTAGATATTGATCCTTGAGGTGTCATCCATTCCATAGTCACAGCACAAGACAAAAACGATTCTCCGGCTTCCATTTTCTTTTTTAGTATAATTTTAATTCATAAAACTGAATTTAGTTTACTTACAAAATCTCAAGCGCGCTAAAAGTTTCAATATAGGTAAATAATGACAGTGACAGTGACAGACGATGGGATTTCACCGTAACGCAGAATATTTTCTACTAATTTATTAAACCATTTTTATCACTTAAACTTTACTTTTATTTTAACTAGTTTTTTTTGTATGTGTGTGCGTCAACTGACAGATGCCTGTTGACAGGAGTAGTGTTGCTTTTTCAGTAAAGAGGTCAGGAATTTAAAGTCACGGACTTATTGACCCGCCCTCGTAGTAGGACCGGTCTCGGTAGACGTAAAATGTCGGGCGGTGTCCCACAGGGGTCGGTATTTGGTCCACTCTTATGGCACATCGGCTACGCCTGGGTGCTTCGCGGTGCTTTCCTGGATGGTGTCGCCGTCACGTGCTACGCGGACGACACGCTCGTGACGGCATGCGGCAAGACGCACCGTGAGGCAACCCTGAGAGCTGGGATTGCCCAAGTCGTAGAGTGGATCCGGCTGGGTTTTGAGGTGGCTCTGTACAAATCTGAGGCCTTGTTCTTTCATGGGCGTCCGAGGAAGCCACCTGAGGGATCCTGCCTTATAGTAGGAGGCACTTGCATCGGCAACGAGCCCTCGATGAGGTATCTGGGGCCCGTACTCGATGGCCGATGGGATTTCGGACATCATTTCCGAGGTCTGGTCTGCCCAACATGAGGGGACCAGATGACTCCTGCAGAAAACTCTACTCGGGGGTTGTACTGTCCATGGCCCTTTATGGGCCCCAGTATGGGCGGAGGCCCTGAAGGCCAGCAACGTCGCACTACTGGTTTCCCCCCCCCCCACATGCCGGTGGTATCCGAGGTGGGGGGGGGAGGCATTTCTGCACAAAAAAAAAAGGAGGATAACAATACTAAATTTACTATTTAATTTTATCTATTTCCATGTATGTGTATGATGTACACAAGCTTTTCGCCAGAATATGGCGTAGTCTATCAATTTATTTTTTGTCTGTCGAAATCTCATAATTCTTCTTAATACACTCAAAGTAAACATAAAAATGATAACAAAACAGTCAACAAGTGCAAAATTGCAGTTACTTAAAAATTCATGTTGTAAGTTTTAATATTAGTTCTTAGAAAGTCTATCAAAAAAATACTTGCTTCATCACCACTTGAATTAAAAAAAATATATAACTGAAAAACTCCCTTCCGTGGTTTCCAGATGTGGCCATATTTAATTGACGAAAATTATTTAATCATTAATACAGAATATCGACAGAAGCTATTTCAAAACTTTGCTCTTTCACCTTATTCATTAATTTCATGGTCACTGCTTTGCTCCTAACCGTACATTGTACCTATATTCTTTATAATTTGTTAATAAATACTCAGTCCAATACGAAAAGACGGAGACTTCCAGAGATTACTACCACGTAAACAATTACTTTGGTTTCATACACTAGGTCTGTGTTAGTTTAAACACATAAAAATAATGAATTAACGGAAATAACCTACTTGTTTGCTTACGTAAATAGGCTGTCAAATTGTCAAGACGAAAATAAATGTTAATCGATCGAAATGCATCACCTTATATAAATAATAACAGATTTATTTAAACAAATCATTCGAATAATCTGATTAGATTAGAAGTAAACTAATGAACTTAATTAAAAATAGAAATAATCAAATCCTAAATCTTAGTTAAGAGGCAGTTATTCAGATTATCACATCAACAGCCTTTAACAGTCCACTGCTTTACACAGGCCTCTCCTTATAAAGGAAGCAGACGGTTGGTATAGGGTTTGTGTCAAGTTTTCCTTCTCTCTGCAGTGCTGTTGTTCTGCGTAGTTTTCTCCCTTAGTTGGCTCTTACGACACCCACGGGATGAATAAGGGTAGTGACACCCTGTACTCTTAATCCGTCACCACATAGAAACAGTCATTAGTTTTCAATGAATATTTGAAGTTCGTGTGTTTATTTCTTATTTGGTATTTCCAACTTTGAAAATGACTAAATCAAATACACTGTTAATCTCTTCTTTTACCCCCTAAATACTAGATGAAGAATTTCTAGAAATAAGCTAAAGCGTATGATACCATGAGCTTATCGTGTTGTAAATTTTACATTACATAAAATCACAATCACTTTGCCTTTTTGGTAAAGGTTTTGTGGAGGAATTGATGTCATGTCCTTCTAACAAAGGTAGGATCCTCCGATCAGGCGAGGTGATCATTCCTGGCGAGGTTGATGTTGGGAAGTTGTTTATATGCAAATCGGCGTTAACGCGATACAGGATTAGCAGTTACTCCGTAGTTTGGTAGATATGTATTCATAAGATGGCGCTGTAGTATGTGTGTGTTTGTCTGTCTGTTTAACGTAAGTGGAACTCGCTAAACGTTTTAAACAGCTATAAAATTCATGAAGCACTGATATCTTCTTGCAACCAACCACTTCGAGCTGTTTGCTTATATTTTGTATCTTAAAGGCATTTATAAAATGAAAATATCGGGATAGACTACCGATATTTTCCAGCCTGTGTAAAATATTCCCCCAGACGGGCCGTTACAAATAAGATCATTTTATAAGATTTAAAGGATACTATACAATACTTGCAAAGGTCAGACTGCAAACGTTTAAAGAACTTAGAAGCTTTAGTCAAACATACCTGTTCGATTTTCAAATTCAGTAAGATATGAAAATCTAGCTAAAGAGCCGCGGTTTAGTAGTAATAAATAGTATATTCTAATTCCTGGCTCATCCCAGGGGAACACTACTATTTCGAGATAAAAAGTAGCTAATGTGTAATTACCTACCTTAACACCAAATTATATAAAAACTGGTCCAACCGTTTGAGCGTGAAGAAGTAACAAACATACAAACACATTATAATGCATGTGTGACTAGGTTCCTCCTTATTTAATAATTATGTATGCATGGTTATGATAGGATTTACATGTTCAAATATTCTTAATCTCTTTATTACTACAGGAAGTGAATTCTTTGACAAATTTTTACAGTTACTTCAGTAACAGGCCATACCATGTTTATCAAGTACTTTACTACTACTACGTACTAACTAATTAAGTAGCGAATATTTTTTTTGTGTAATCTATACATACATACATAGAATGTTGCAGTGCGCTAGAAACCCGATCTTCCAATAAAGACAAGGCGTTACTATACTGGTGTAGATTCCCCTGTGCAGAAGTCGGTAGTCCTCACAATGACGCAATGTATAAACAGATACCAGACAGGGGATTTTCATTACACATGCTATATTTCAAAACCCTGCTGTGACATTAACCATTCCTCGATGCCAAACGATATGAGGTCATCAGTCAATCTCTTTGTAGTTTCGCTGAATTAGACGACTCCTTCCACATTTTTAAAAATCAATTTTAAGCTTCAATCATAAGATTTAAAATCCCATAGCATAACTTTGGTAGAAGCAATAAGTTCACGTAAATCTGACAATCCTATAACGTTATTAAACTACTAATTTTATTTATACTTTATGAACTGCAATCTGTAAGTACTCGGTAAGGAAGTGATGCACCATTAAGGATGAGTAATATTAATTTGTAGGTAAGAAAGACCTTATTAAAATAAAACGATGCGTCGATATCACAAACGGAACACTTGAGACAGTGGCGATACATTAATACGAACGGAAGCGGCCACTAAAAGTATCATCAAGTTTGCTTTCAAAGTACACACGCTTATTTTCGCAATCATTTCAAAATATTAACGATGATAGAAATAAACGTAAGCTTCGTTCCTAAAGTTGACAAAAGAGAATTCTGTTTATTTGAAGAAAAATTAATGCGCTTGAGATATAAAGCGACACACATTGAATTCTTGCCCATCATTTTATTGCCAGAGTATGTACTTAACTTGTTTTATATTGAGCTATAAAGTATCAATTATGATATTTTTATGGAGGAAAGATATCTCGATCACTAAAATATTACTTTAGGTAGTGTTGAGAACGGGGGGGGGGGGGGGTCGTCTACTTGTTGTAGATGGCCCGAGGTATGTCGGGGCACCAGCGACTTCCTTTCTAAGGTATACCTGGTTCCCCGGCTATTAGTACCCGAGACGGCGTGCGGTTTTAGTCGGTTCGAGTCCGACATACCACCGATAGGTGGTATCCGAGGAGATTTCCGCACGAAAAAAAAAAAAAATTGAGAAATTGTATGAAATTAGGACCTTTACTACTTTCATCAAAAGTCATAATTTTTAAGGAGCTCATTCTTGCGCCTAAAACTGGCAAAGTCGTGTGACTTTTCCAGTTTTAGGCGCTTGGTTGGAGTATTCTTTTAAGGTTTTAGATTTTTAAACGCTATACGTTATAGGTATACTTCCGTACCCTACCACCGAAATTTTATCGAGTTATATTTTACACTTGCTTTTGCCCGCGACTCACCGCGTGTAGGTATGTCAGTTATCGCAGTAAAAAGTTTTCTATGTAATTTCTTAAAAATAAACTATATTCATGAAAAATTACACCTAAATCGGTTCAGCGGTTATTGTTTCCCCATATAAACTTTCACCCCCCTTTGCACCCAATTAAATAACGATTGCTCAGATAAAAACTACCCTATGTCCTTTCCCGAAACTCAAACTATCTCTATACCAAATTTCATCTAAATCGGTTCAAGTGGTTAAGGCGTGAAGAGGTAACAGACCGACAGACAGACACTTAGCATTTATAATATCAGTATGGATTATTAGTTTAATTACTAGTCGCATTGTAAATCTGTCACAGATTTGCGCAATAAGTAATTATTATTGCATTTGGCTTGCTCTAGATTATTAATCTATAATTGCAATGTGTCAGGCTAATTTACGTCACGCTTTCTTATTTAGTCTTATTAAGTTAAAGGCTACATTACATAGAATATATGAAAACATACAAGAAAATACACAGCCTGATATGTCTGGCTCATTTTACCAAATAATTTAAGAGTTAATTTC